CTAAACACTGTCTTTGAAATCTGTTTCTTACTCTTTTCTTGAAAGTGTGTCATAGTTGACAACGGATGGCTATGTCTTAAACTCAGGACATAATATCAGCAGGTACGGAATTGTGAAATTTGGATAAAGTTTCAAGCAGCAAGAAGGATTTAGTATCTCTATGGATTATTATTTTAACCCAGGGATATAGAAACTCACAGTCGACTAAGGCTTGTGAAGCATAGGATGTTTCTTAAATCCATAAATGATGCCGAAAATGTACGCATCAAGGAGCACTCTTGATAGGTCACAGGAATGAGATTATATAAGGTGAGTTCATTACGTCATGCACTAGGTTATATTACTTCAGGGTATGTGCGGACCTTCCTCCACAACATCTTCGCCTCCAGGATCAACGCCTATTAGATCCTCCCAGTGTCTTCCATCTGGATGAAAGGGAGACAGATAACCTCTAACGACGCTATCAAGGTCCCGGGCACGTCTTGCGGTTGCGGTTGCTGTAGCTAACCACGACCCAATGTCACTACTACCTTCCGGCCTCGGCTCGTCCCTAACGTTGGGACGAACGAGCACACGAGTCGAATCGTCCATTCGGCAGCAAGGCTTAGACTCCTAACTTCGGCACTCCATGAGGGGCTGGTTTACTGGCGAGCCGCTTGTCTTGTTCTTCCTTGGATAGCGTATCCCACTCAGCTACATTCTTGTCCTTCATAGCAGTCAACACATTGTCAAAAGTTAAGTTGCACGCAATACTACTCACCCATTCTGCTACGCATTCTGGCTTCCAGTTGCACTTTTCTACCTCGCCATACATGGGGTGGTTTCGTCGGGGATGAAGAGCTGGCCAACCCGAGGCGTGGTAATGGTGCTTCACGAGCGCACCTCTGGAGCCGTGGTTGCCAGAGTCGGAGTGTCCTTGACCAGCTGCAAAGGCTTCGACATTGAGTACGAGAATTCCGTTGACGAGCCTCGATTCTGCCAAATTGTGGAAGAGATCCCAAGTAACTGGGTTGCCGTGGTTCTGTGCCGTCATTTGTTCTAAGACCGCTTTGGTAAATGCGGACGGCCCGGTACCACTAATTACTTCGTCGAAATCCAAGTGGAGCTGCGATATAGGAACCTCTTTCGCTTTGGCCAGCTCGTGTAACCAATCTTGGATATTCTCGATAAGCCGCATCATAACCGGAAGCCGGGGTTTGGCGGCAAAAGTCCACTGGCAAAACGACTTGCATTTGGACCCGAGAATCTCGTGGTTGGCAAATGCAGGTTCATCAATTTCCACTCCGATGATCATGTCAATGTCTGGCGCGTTGTAGCGCTCGGGAATGAACCTATTGATGGGTCGTAGGCATTCCACGTCAATGTCGGCATATACACCACCTTCAGCGTACATGACGAGGTATCGAAGCAGGTCGGCTTTTATGATGGTGATGTTCAGTTCCCGGTATAGGTCGACGAGATCCTTTCGGTCAAGGCCGTGTGGCCCATAGTGCCACTCGAGATAGTCGTTTGCGTTATCATCTGTCAACACCTCGTATCGGTACGTGGGGTTTTTCTGAGCCCAGGTTTTGGCCGAGTCTGAGTCGCGCTGCTCAAAGCCTAGAGGACCAACCTTCCATGTTTGCCATATCTTCTTTGGAATCAACGAGCCAACTGGCTGCAGTGGCTGCTGATATTTGAGCTCGCGCTTGTATCTGCTCGCTGCTCGGATCGGGGTTGTAAAGAACTCGGTGTTGGCAAAGAACAAGAAGAGAAAGATCAAAGCAATATATGCAGGCAAGACTCTCCGCACTTGACTGGTGAGCTTGCCTGAAAATTGGGTCACTATCGGGGAACTTGGACGCATCGTGATTTTCAGACTGAGCTTGGGCGGAGGTGGCCTTGATCGTGTGCGCATGCTGGAGTTATTACAACATTGGGAACCTGCCAATTTGACCCAGCCATTCCATAACTATTATCGATCGTCTCAATACACCACCGGAGATACGAGCCTCTGGCCTAGAATATACCCATGCGACCGCATCGACCAATACGCTTCTTGCCTTCACCCTCGGCACATCAATTTCTTTTCACATGCAGGGGCAGCCTCACGAAAAAGCACGTAACCCCGCATATGTCCTGGAGGCTAAGAGTCTATCCTGGTAAACTAGTACTGGTACAACACTGGTACCAAGGCGGGTGGGTCAAAGCTTGTAAATTTGACCCCTGCAAGCTCATCGGCCGCTTGGACATGTTAGGTATCTGCCCCTTGACAGTCCCCGCATTGCATCTCGTGAGTAAGAGATATTTGAGGCATGTCGCCGAATTCAGCAATGTCACACTCAAAGCTGTCCGTGCCCAAATACTGGTGCCGAATGATTCCGGCCTGGTCGCGCTCATCTAGGCAGTCAGACATGATTCGGACGAGTTGTGCAAATCCTGCTATTGCGCATCAATTGCCCACTTTATTACGATCTTGAATATCTAGGGTCTCTTCGAGTACCCAGTATTCCTCAATTCAATCTCAATTTCTGGGATCCCTCAATTGTATCAACTTTTTTTTTTACCACCGAAAATGCCAGCTAAATACAACGGGTTGCTGGACCAAGATGGAATCGAAGAAATCAAACTTTCACCATCAATCTGGAAGCCAGTTCGAACGGCCAAATGGAGCCTCGACCTAGTACGCCCGGAATTTCTCTCCTTGCGGCCGGCCTCGAAAAGCAAGCCGATTAGGCCAACAGCATGGCTGGATGGCCTAAGAGGCTTCGCTGCACTCTTGGTCTATCTACAGCATCACCAGCTCTGGGCTCACGGGGAACGTGGTAACTCTGTCTTCGAACACGCCTACGGCTACGAGGGAAAACACTATTTCGCAACCCTACCATTTGTACGCATCTTCTTCTCTGGTGGCCACTTTGCTGTTGCCGTCTTCTTCGTCATATCCGGTTATGTGCTTTCCCTCAAAAGTCTACGCATGATTCAGGACGGTCATGCTGTCAGTGCTGCAGACAGTATCGGCTCCGCCCTCTTCCGCCGTTGGCTACGACTTTTCCTACCTGTCATTGCGATTACTCTCGCATTCATGTCTGTCCGCCAATGGAGCGGAATATGGGTTGATTTGCAGCCAATGGAAGATACATACTGGAAAGAACTCATCAGATGGTACCGCATGTTCAAAAACTACAGCTTTGTCTTTTCCACCGAGATCTATGACTTTCCTATACAGTTCCATGCGCACGTCTGGTCGATCCCCATTGAATTCAAAGGATCCATCATCACCTATACCGCACTCTCCGCACTCTCCAGGTGCACAAAGAATGCCCGGCTCTGCTGCGAGGCCGCGCTAATATTCTACTTTCTCTACATCGTCGACGGTTACTACGGCGCAATGTTCATGTCTGGAATGCTGCTCTGCGACCTTGATTTGCTGGCACAGCAGGATAAACTTCCGCGACTTTTTTCGGCTCTGGCAAACTTCAAGGAGTTCATCTTCTTCCACATGTTCGTCTTTGCTCTCTACCTCAGTGGCGTACCATCCTTTGACGCACCTGAAGCGGATAGCGTTGCTATCCTCACCAAGTCACCAGGATGGATCTGGTTATCGCATCTCAAGCCTCAAGCCGTATTCGATGCAAAATGGTTCTATCTTTTCTGGGCAGCATTCTTCACAGTCGCATCAGTGCCTCGCTTGCCATGGCTCAAGCAATTCTTTGAGACGCGTTTCTGTCAATATCTTGGACGCGTATCTTTCGCGCTGTACTTGGTACATGGAATTGTTATCTGGATCGTCGCTGACCGCCTGTATGCCTTGGTGGGCCTTACGAGATCGGCCCACGCCGAAGGAATACCGGAGTGGGTCAACAAATTTCCCTTACCTGTCAGTGGCCCACTAGGGCTAGAATTGGCTTTTTGGTTGCTTCAGCCCATTCTGCTATCTATCACACTATATTTTGCAGAAGTTGTGACGAGGTTGGTCGACGAGCCAAGTGTCAAGTTTACCAATTGGCTTTACAAAAAGGCGCTTTCTCAACAGACAAAGCCGGGGCACCAGCGTAGCCAATCAACACGATGAGTCGGTATGTAACTGCAACCAAGAGTATCGATATTGAACAAAATATTCTTGGACCCCAAATCCTTCATCACAACCCTGATCTTGTTGCGATGCTCCCTACATGTGCTGTCGATCTCAATAAGAATATTCGGCTTCATGTGACCGTTCAGCTGCAATCTGCGGGAGTTGACGTTACGCCGCACTACTGCAGGTGCTGAAGGGGCGGGATGTGACACAGCATAGACGCCCGTTGTATTGACGGTTGAAAAAGGCGCACTCCGCCGAGTCATTCCCCATGGGGGCCTAAGCTCCTAGTGAAGAACCATGGTCCCTGCCCTGCTGCTGATCTTTGCCCTTTCGTCGGCAATGACCAAATCAGGTACCAATACCGCCGACTATCAATTTCCTTTGCAGACACAATGCCGTAACCATGTTGATAGTGCCTAGCTTGTAGCGTACGTATGAAATTGCATGTCGTTGGTGCCCGCTGCAACCTCGGATACGTGTGCCTATGCATCTGCGTCCATGCTCCGATTAACACATGTGACGAAGTGGATTTCGACCACCATTTGCTTTTGATCAGACGTCGTAGAGAGCCCGTGAAGTACCAATTTGTCCCTTTACCATGAGGCGGCGGCACAATATTGCTTTGGCGACCATTGCATTCCTCGGTACAATCTTGCTGGTTGCACAGCACCGCAGTGAATACCGGCATACGCATGTTACCCATGCATCGTATGATACCAAAGAGAGTAATACCGGGATCGAAGTACTACCATCCGACCTAAAACCTTCTTCACATTCTCATGATGCATCTGGGTCAGGAACGGACCCCGAGAAGCACGTGACCCTACATGACAACAATTCACCAGCTCAAGGAGTCTCGGAAGGCGACAGTTCGACAACGCCTCCTTTGCTGGAACACCCATCTCCAGATGGACAAACCGTCTTAGAACCCGAATATGCTTTCCAGAAAGACCTCGATCTCCTCCTTCCAATCCCAGCCTTACAACGCTTCAGCGCCCACAAACCGCACAACTACGTGCCCGGAGGCACAGAAAACTACGCCTATGCCACATTCCTAGCAACCCGCAACGCCTCGCTCAAAGACCCTTACTTCCTCGCCATCCACTCCCTCATCTACCGCCTCCTCTGGTCCCCCAAATCCCGCACCCAAAAACACCCCTTCATCGTCTTCGTCGCCGACTACGTCACACCCGAACAACGCGCGCTGCTCTCGGGCGCCGGCGCCCTCGTCCGCGAACTCGCGCCCTTACCTTGGTCCCCCAACGTCATCGGCGTACAATCCCGCTGGAAAGACCTCTTCGCCAAACTACACATGTGGCGAGAAACAGAATTCAGCCGCATCTTCTTCCTAGACGCCGACGCATTTCCCCTCGCCCCCTTGGACGACCTCTTCACCCTCGCCGAACCCCGCCCTTGCTCACCTGAGAAATTGCACCTAGACGACTTTCTCACCGACGGCCCCGTCTGCGAACCCTACATCTTCGCGGGAATCCCGCAGGACCCGTTTAACACCGAGCACCCCAACATCAACGTCGGAGCTATGCTTTTCACCCCTTCCCTACGTATGCACCAGCGTCTCCTGCAAAACTACGTCAAAACGGATAAATACGATTGTCTCATGGCGGAACAAGCGTTTCTCAATTGGCAGTTTGGCCCGGACTCGGCGTTTCCGGCGACGAAGCTGGAGAGGGAGTGGGGGGCGTTTTTTCCAAAGGAAGAGGAGGAGGGGAAGTTGAAGGTTGTGCATGAGAAGATTTGGGTTTTGGAGGGGGGATGGATGAGGGAGGAGTGGGGGATGGGGTGGAGGGATATGATTACGTTTTATGAGGGAGAGGAGTTTGTGAACGGGAGGGAGGGGGATGGGAGGGTTGAAGGTTAGGGTTGATGAATGTGTTTCGTTTGATTAGTTTGGAGTGGTTTTATGATATGGGTTTGGAATACACAAACGACGAGATCATAGGGAATGATGCTATGAAAGTGCAATGAAGCAGACCTTGAGTATCTTGGCGTTTTTAAGTCTACTATTTCTTTACCTTGGGCACTGAACTCTGGCATGACATAGACTTTGTGTCTCAACATTGACTAACAAACACACTCTAGAGGTACAGATCTACACCATACTACACGCTCGCCTCAGCCGTACTCTGTCGACCCGCCACACTTCCTCCCTTCCAGCTCTGCTTCGGATCTTTCTTATCCTGCAGCCTACTCTGCTCTCCTTCCTTGCCCCACCCACCACCTCCAGGCGTATGAATAATGATGCGCTCACCAGGCCGCATACTAGCCGTATTCTTCGCACCAAGATTGATGTACCTATACTCAACATCTTCTTTCCTGTCCCTCGCAGCATCCTTCTTCTCCAGAGTCTCCACGTCACTTGACGTCGTGGGCGCGCACGGTGCCGATTCTTGAGGTTCAGTAGGTTTCTTAGAGTCTGAGTTTTGGTCGATAGCCTTTTTGTCGACTTTGCGGACCCAGATATTGAGACCGCAGGCGGCGTCGCCTCCGCCTTCCATACCGTATGGATGGTAAACTCTTCTTTCGCTCAAAATGCTGACTTGGACTGGGATGCGGAACTCGATGTCACGGATGACTCCTTCGCCACCAATGTGCATTCCGCGTCCTGCACTACCTTGTCTAAGTGAGAATTCTCGGAGCAGAACAGGGTATCGGCGCTCAAACACTTCGGAGTCGGTAATGCGAGTGTTGGTCATATGTGTATGCACGCCGCTGGTTCCGTTCCATGTTGGCCCTGCACCAGACCCTCCAGCGATGGTCTCGTAGTATCCAAATCCCTTGGTCTCTTTTCTCTCTCCGCTCTTCTCTCCTTCCCCGAATGTTGTACCGCCAAAACCAAAGGTAAGGTTGTTGCAATCGCCTTGGCTGGCGGCACACGCACGGAAAGCCTTCAACACGACGTCTGTGACGCGCTGACTCGTAAGTACGTTGCCTCCCACAACAGCCGCATTATCCGATGGTGAGAGGAAAGATTTCTTAGGAATGAGAACGTGGATTGGCTTCAAGCAACCTTGGTTCAATGGGATATCCTCACTGATCAGACATCGCAGACAGTAGATAATAGCCGAGTACGTGACGGCTTCAGGGGCGTTGATGTTGCCGTAGACTTCAGGGCCTGTTCCTGAAAAGTCAAAGACAGCTTCGCCCTTTTCTGGGTCAATGGAGACCTTGAGGCGGATAGGACTTCCATCGTCCATGAATTCCTCCGCACTGAGGTCTTGGCCCTCAAAGCGCTTGTACACGTCTTTGAGTAACGCTCGCACAGATTTCTCGGCATTGGCTTGGATGCTGGTCATGTAGAACTTGACGACTTCCTCGCCGTAGTCGGACATGAGCGTACTGATGAGATTGATACCCTTCTGGTTAGCGGCGACTTGAGCTTTCAGATCGTTGATGTTGTCACTCAGGCATCGAGTGCCAGAGCATCCAGGATATTGACCTGGTTCATCGAGCAGTAGCTCTGTGATGCGCTCTTCGTTGAAGTGGCCTTCTGATACGAGCTTCTCTGATTTGATAGCAGCGCCTTCTTGGTAGAGCTCCTTAGAAGCTGGAGGCATCGAACCAGGAAGGATGCCACCGATATCAGCATGATGTGCACGAGAGGCGACATAGAAGACAATGTTGTCACCACTGAATGCTGGTGTTATAACGGTGATATCTGGTAGATGTGTACCGCCAAACATAGGATGGTTAGAAACCAGTACGTCCCCCTTTTTGAGCTTGCCTTTCCAGATAGCTGCTTGTTTGCGGACACATGTTGACATGCTTCCAAGATGGACAGGAAGATGGGGTGCTATATGTACGTTAGCGTTGTTAGACTCCATAGATGTGAAGCTCACCATTTGCGACTAGTCCGCCATCTGCGTCGAAAAGCGCGCAAGAGTAGTCCAATCGCTCCTTGACGTTGGTAGACACACTAGTCTTCTGCAGCGCGCGACCCATCTGCTCAGCAATAGCCATGAACCTGTGAGCGAAGATACTCAGCAGAATTGGATCGACTTCCTTTGTGTCAATCTGTTTTTCTTGATCTTCGGTCTCACCGATGTTTATCACAACATGCGTGTTAATTATGAGCGCAGTAGCGCCAGGAGTAACGACGATAGTTTGTGTGCCGTCTGCAATGATGGCAGGGCCCTTTAGGCGATCTCCAACCTCAAGGTCTTCAAGCTTGTACACCGACGTATCTTGCCGACCACCCTCGAAGAACACCTTGCGCGTATCGTATCGCTTTGTGTCGCCTTGAAGGTCTTTGGGTTTGATCTCTTTCAGCTGCTGATCCACGCTCTTTTCCAACCCTTCAAAGGACTTTCCAATGCCTCGTGCTCTGACATCATCCACGATGATGTCACGGTCTGGCAGTGTGAAACCGAACTCTTGCTCGTGTTGCTTAATAAAGGCTTTCCCAAAGGCCCACTCGTCGCCACCATACTCTTGCTGGGCCTCTTCTTTGGTTGGCTTGATGATCATGAGCGCTGACTCAGTCCCTCGGTATCGCAAGTTCAGGTACTCCTCAAACTGAATGTGTTCTTCATCAAAGCCCTGCTCCTTTAGTGTAGCTGTTGATTTACTCTTCAAGTCCGCCATCTTGGCTTGCAAGTATTCCCTCACATCCTTTTCATCTGACCAGACCTTCGACTCTGGCTCTTGCCTTTCGTCGACGACATCAGCAAGGGCCATGCCGTATGCGGATAGTACTGATGAGTATCTGTGAACAAGAATCTGCGAAATGCCGAGAGCCTCAGCGATGGCAACAGCGTGCTGTCCACCGGCTCCGCCAAAGGTTGCAAGTCGGTGTTTTGATGTGTCGTGGCCTCGCGCTTCAGTCAAACTACGAATAGGTCGCGTCATAGTCTCGTTTGCGATCTTGATGAAACCATTTGCAATGTCATCCAACGACATTTCCTTTTCCTTGTTGCCTCCAGCGATCTCCTTGTTAATTTGATCTGCCAATTCTTTGAACAGCTTCTCGCTGGCTTGCGCGTCCAGCCCTTCATCCTCATTCTTTCCGAAGATCTTGGGAAAGAAGTCAGGCAGTAGCCGACCAAGGAACAGGTTCGCATCTGTAATAGTCAATGGGCCACCTTTTCGATAGCATGCTGGGCCAGGATGTGCGCTTGCCGATTCTGGGCCGACAACGAAAAGACCGTTCTTCCAGAAGAGACGCGATCCACCACCGGCTGCGACTGTGTTGATGTCGAGTTGCGGTGACTGGATAGTGACTCCGGCAGTTGTAGTCTCGAAGACGTGATCGTATCGTCCAGCGCCGTATCGGCTGACATCAGTACTGGTACCACCCATATCGAATCCAATAACGGGTATCTTGGTCTGTGGATCATAGGACGTTAGTGCATAGCCCACGACTCCACCAGCAGGTCCTGACAGGATGGCTTTAAGGCCCGAGAACATATCGACATCGACAAGTCCGCCATCAGATTGCATGAACTCGCATCGTGCACCCTTGGAGCCTTCTTCGCGCTTTACGCTCTTGGTACCAAGGCCACCTTCAAAGCCCTTGGAGAAGCCATCGATGTACTTTCGTATCGCGGGTGTTAGATAGGCATCTGCGCATGCAGAGGTTGCTCGTGGAACCAACTTAATCATGGGCATGAGCTCGTGACTTAAGCTGACATGTTCGAATCCAATTTCCCTTGCAATTTTGCCTACTAGCGCTTCATGCTTCGGATATGTGTAGCCATGCATCAAGCACACAGCTATGCTCTTCAACCCACTATCATACACCTCTTTGAGTTGCTTTCTAATTGCTTGTTCCTGCGGCCTTTGTAATATGCGCACTGTCTCACCCGACAATCCTTTGACTAATTCAGCTTCATCGCCAGCCTCTTCAATACTGGCGGCTTGCGTCTGATTCCTTTCTGGGTCCTCGGCATAGTCTTCCAGCGTGACACGCTCATCAATCTCTACTACCTTTTTGTAGAGTACCTCTGGCTTCCGGATATCCAGAGCGAAAATATTGGGCCGACTTTGGTTGCCGATTTCGAGACAGTCCTTGAAACCTTTTGTCACAACCATGGCGATATCCTCGCCCTTGCGCTCCAGCAGCGCATTCGTAGCCACCGTTGTGCCCATGCGTATGCTTTCAATCTTGGACGTGTCCAGTGGCTGTCCGCGAGGAATTTCGGTGCCTGTGAATTTGGAAAGGAGGCGACGGATACCTTCGAGCGGCGCGTCATCGTAGTTTGACGGGTCAACAGAAAGAAGTTTGATGAGAACGTCATCTTCCATCTTGCCTGTTCCGGGATTGCCTACACAATCTGTGAATGTGCCGCCACGCTAAACACCCAGTAATCAGCCATAGATTCTTCAAACCCAGAGAAAAAGATTCCATACGTCAATGGCAATGCGGATTCCCCGCTGTGCAATCTTTGGCGCAGCCATGGTTGTGCCTGGGAATTATGTCGCGTGCACGAAATGCGAAAGTGATTGTTAGACAGACCCTGGGGGCTTCAAGGTCATCAGTTAACACAGGCGAAAACCAAAACCAAGAATGAGCGAAGAATGATGCCAAAATACGATGTGACACGATATGCAGGCTGGACGCGGCTGCATATACGCTCCCAGCGAGAGCTTTAAGTGGGGTACGCGATGCTACCCCGCGGCGGCTTTTGTCATCCAAATCATGTCATCGTGGTAGCTCGAGCTTGATGACATCTGCTACGCTATCTGCACACGCCACTTCCGACATTAGTGGGCCTTGTCGGCGTTGTCGGGAATTCTTTTCAACACTATTTGCCTGCTGATAAGGTCCCTGAGATGGTCGGTCACCGAGTCATTGCACATGATATTTTATTAGAGTTTTGGACATGTAACACTACAACAAACTCATTGTGGATATTTGGCTAGTATCATTAAAAAAGGAGTTCCCGGCGAGAGGGGGGACAGGAACGAGTTTGGCCACGCGATAATTGGCTCTATGGTAAAAACATGAGTACTAGTGAAGCTCGAAAGCCACTATCAAGTACAAAATTCCTAATTACAGCATGCCCAAACGGACATTTTTGGAGCAAACCCCCAATATCGGAATGATGGACGATCTTTTGCTGCGGTGTACGCATGCATCGCTTTAGGTTTGGCGGGCCCTTGCTACAGTCACAAGGGTGTGGGGAATTCCTCTGAATTTCCCGATCGATAGGGCAATGCAACGATCTGATTGGAAATAAGATCGATTGCTTTGCACTTGTTTTGATCAAATAAGTGTCTTGTGACTCCTTGATATTTTCGCCCTATTACAACTGGGCTATTCAAGGAATGGGGTCCATAAGTGAAGTAGATACCGCATGCGGTATGCCCACGGTATAATCCAACTGCGAACTGAAAACAGACATAGAGTTAACATGAAAATGTAGGCCTGGAGAAGATTAATACGTTTCATTGCCGAAGAAGACAATGTCGAGCACCTCGGTGAGCCACTCGATGCAAACATCGATGGTAAGCAGCCCGCCTGGCAATCTTTCACATCTGCTGAGACAGTATAGTTGGCGCAGCTCTAGCGTCAGGAGAGAAGGTCCAAGCCCGCCTCTTCACAAGGACGTCTGTTCTCTCGCTCCAAAACAAGCCCACAAGCACAGTCCTCACAGTCTCGAGATTACTTCCGCCACTCTCAAAGTCTGAAGTAGGAACCATCCGCTGCATAGGCCTGAACTACCGGAAGCATGCAAAAGAAATGAACCTGGATCTTCCCAACCACCCCACACTCTTCTTCAAACCGGCAACATGTCTGGGCGCCCCGAACGCTCCACTGCTGATACCATATCAAGCTACAAATGGCCAAGCAGACTACGAAGCCGAACTCGCAGTTATCATAGGCAAGGCCGCGAGAAATGTCACCAAAGAGAACGCCATGGAGTACGTCCTGGGCTATACATGTTCCAACGACGTAACAGCCCGAGTTCATCAATTCAACGGCGCCCAGTGGGGTTTCGGAAAAGGCTTTGATGGATTCGCGCCGCTAGGCCCTTGCCTCGTATCCGCCGCCACAATACCCGATCCTGGCCAAATCGAGTTGAAGACTGTGCTGAATGGCGAAACGATGCAATATTCCGTTGCGAACGATATGATATTCAGCATTCCGGAAATCGTGGCATATCTCAGTCAGGGGACGACTCTGGAGCCGGGTACGGTGATTATGTCCGGCACACCACATGGCATTGGAGTGAGCAAAGTACCAAAGGTGTGGTTGAAACAAGGGGATGATTTGAGAATTGTGATGAGCCATGGCATGGGAAGTCTAGTGACCCCAGTTGTTTACGAAGCGCAGCCCAAGCTCGTATAATTTAGAAAAACACTTAACTCATTCAAACTGATTCATGGCTGGGACGCAGTATTGAGTCATATTTCCCACTGCATCATTGATCAAAAACCTGCCAAAATAGGACTCGTGATTATTGAAATCCAAAAAGCATCTGTTCTTGAGTGATGCTGTCGAGAACATGCTCCCATTGCTGCAGGTCTGTAGATGGATCGCCCCAAGGAGGCGCTTGCCATTGAAACGGACCTCCTGCACCAAAACTGAGTAAACCTGGTACTTCATCTGAGCTGTTTATTGTTTCTGGTGAGACAAAGTTGTTGGCATCATTCTGTTCTCCGGCGTACGCAGTAGCTGGAGGGTCCACTGTCGCGCTGTATCGCGGTCCAAGTGATGTACTTGCTCTATTGCTGCTGGCACGACTTTTACGAAATTGTTTTGACTTCTTGATACAAAGTTCAATGATCTTGACTTCTGCAAGTGCAAACTCATTCAGCCAGATGTCTCCGCGTTGCATGTCGCAATAAGCAGTGAGATCTTCTAATATCGCGTCGCATTGGTACGAGTGTGGATCTTTGACAGCAACGATTCCCAGGACTAGCGCGCTGTTGAATAGATGATGAGGTCCCAAACTCCATTTCAGACGGTCGTGCAAGGGCTGCTGAAGATAGTCGATACGCATTGCAAGGTCAGCACAAGCTGATGAAATGCAAGCATCGTGACTGTGTCGGAAACGATTTGTAATACTTTGGCGCAGCAGATATGGGCGATGGAGTGTAACGCGAGCAAAGTGGTACATGGAGTGAAGGTATAAGCGATTCCAATGTATGAATGGGTGAACACCATCTTGCAAAGTATCAGAGTCTTTGATGCGATAGTACTCCGGTAATTTGGCTGCCCATTCAAGAATTTCCCGATCCAGGGAAAGAACAGTGTCATACGAGGATGTCGACAGGCCGAAGCAGCGTTCTTGAATATTACCAATAATTTTTGCTAAATCATGAGCTAGGAAATTATAGACACTTAGGGTGGGCTCGGAAATTGGCAGTACGGGCAGAGCCGCAGCACGTTCTTCTGGCTCGTCATCTAGCCAGACATTGGTTGCTCGTTGGACGAGGCATTGCTGGTCCACAATTGCAAATGGACGGCCAATGGCCAACGCAATTGTCTTGTCTAAAGTATACAAATGACTCCAGAGTCGCCTTCTAGTCTCAGTCTCTTTTCGCGGAAGTCGCCATCGCTCGCCATCAATGTGCATGCCTTGGGCTTGGGCCATGCGCATAGCGAAACTGGTCGTCAACCAGGACTCTGGGACTCGTCGCATGTGTATGAGATAGCGCGTTACTAAGACGCCAGCGCGGACAAGATCTGTTGACTCGCCGTAGAATGTCGGCGCGATCACAATTGCTCTTCGGGAAGCCCAGTAGAATCGAAGAGATGTTTCCTGCAAGTCTCGCTGAACTTCAGCGTTCTTCGGGTGTGGGCAGTCTAAGAAGACTCCATAAGCAAGGATGATGAATAGCAATGCCAGCCAACGCAAGTCGATGGATGCGTAGTCATCAAAGCCAAACTTGCGCTCCCAAAACTCGGCATACTTGGTCTTGAATGAAGCAGGATGGATTGCGTCAATGGTCCAGTTGAGCTCGATAATAAACACATCAACTAATCGGTCAACACTGGCTTTGTTTCGAGGCAATATGCCTAGTAGGTCCCAGATTTGTGAAAAAGGGCCACCAACATCTCGGAAAGACTGCGCTGAAGCTGATGCGTGACGAATGCCAGATGAGAGATCTGGTGCAGGTTCTTCAATTATCTTGGCTGCAGCCTGGGGTCCGAAGTAGGATGAACCGAAGAAGGAAGGGGCATCTCTGCTCCGAAAGAGATTTCCGACCTGTGCATCCCTGGGTTCCGGTGAGGCCTTGTTGCAGGAAGTAGAAGCCTGAGTAGCTTGATATGATTTTAGTTAAGCGGTCTTGGTACCAGATGCAGACAGCCTAGTCGCAACTCACTCGCAATAGTGCCAGCGACAGTTTCAGCGGTCGGCTCGGTGTTACCGAGGGTAGATACGTGTACCGATTGCTGGCGATGGGCCTCAGCTTCGTCGCTGTATGTGCAGTCTGATGCTACATCGCGTCGTGTACAATTGAAGCATGGGAGCTCTCCATCACACTGTACCTCTGGTCAGTTGTTGGTCTCTCGTTCTCGGTCATGATAAGTTTAGGGCCATGAAGCGTCCGGTGCATCATCCAGCATGCCAACGTGAGTCTTGGAACTCACGAGGTTCTTTCAGTGACGACGTCATAACAGGCATTCCTGATTATGTCATACGTACCTTCTGTTTCCTCCTGTGACATGTTACACAACTCTTCGCCTGTCGTCCCCTCTTCTTTTTCTTTCTTAATGGCTCACTGTCAGTTCTCTCAACTCGGTCTCTGGTACGCTCATCCATTATGGAATACAGTAATGCCCAGATGATGCAGAAGAATTTGCCGATAAGTATCCGCTTAAAACTGATACCACAATACGACCGGGATCGCGATATACGTTTATCTTATCTGCAGTCCATGTTGCAGTGGGTCGCTGCGAGTTTAGCGTGCATCCATCACCCAGATTGGCAAGGCGGGCGACATCCCCGCGTCGGCCAAATGTCTATCATAGATCGGTAAATACACTCGATAAACCATCATGCCTACGCCTGGTATTATGATGTTGTATATCTGTACCGAATCTGCCCGTATGAGCATTCAAACTCATTCTGGGTCCCAATTACGTTGTTTGCGCCATGTCGGACTCAATGCATGACGCCAAAGCCGCGGATGGCTCGCTTTGCGAGAAGGATGTCCAAGCTGGATCAAGTGAAGAAATTCAAATTGATCCAATCGCAGAGAAGAAAGTAGGTACTTGTTGTGTTCCACCTGAAGCCGTATACTGACTAAACAGCTTATCCGCAAATTGGACCTTATTCTGTCACCTATGATGGTCATAGTGTTCTTGGTACGAAACCTCTCTTCTACCAGGTAATTCTTCAAGGTTAATCAATTCATCGTAGGTGGCCTACCTTGACCGTTCCAACATCGGTATATACTCGCCCTGACACGGTCACGATGCGCCTTTCGCTAATTTGTCCTAGGAAATGCTGCTATTGCAGGTATGAATGAGGACTTGAACCTTACTGGGAACCGTCTCAATGTCGCTGTGACACTCTTCTATGTGACATATATTGCATTCGAACTCCCTTCGTCACTTCTGTTAAAGAGACTGCGCCCATCTCGTCTGATTCCTTTCTTCATCATCAGCTGGAGCGCTGTCATCATTGGGGCTGCATTTGTCCAGAATTATGCTTCTCTCATTGCTACCCGCCTTCTGCTAGGTGCCTTTGAATCTGGGCTGTTTCCCTGTCTCACCTTGTATCTCAGCATGTACTACAGGCCTCTGGAGCAAGCTCGAAGGGTATCGTATCTCTTTGTAGCGTCTGCCTTAAGCGGAGCCTTCGGTGGACTACTGGCGTACGGCTTGACAAACCTGCATGGTGCAAGAGGTCTTGCTGGGTACGTACTCCACTGTTCAAATCGGCCTTGGATAATGAACTAACAGTCCCTTAAGCTGGCGTTGGCTGTTTCTCGTCGAGGGCCTCATTTCGATTGTCGTAGGAGTTGCAATGATTTTCCTTCTTCCGGACAACTTCGAGACGGCATGGTGGCTGAATGAGGACGAAAAGGCGCTCCTTCGGGCTAGACATGAAAAAGAACGACTCTACCAAGGCAAATCGATGACAACGGATGCCATGGATAAAACCGAGGTTAAACTGGCATTCAAGGATCCCAAGCTATGGCTGAGCGCTGCGTGTCAATTCTGTGCAAACACATGCTCCTTTGGTTTCTCGACATTTCTTCCAGTAATCATCCGTGGATTTGGCTACTCAAGCATCCGCACTCAGCTTTTGACAGTACCAGTGTACATCTGGGCCTCGGCGGTGTATCTCTTTATCGCTTTCTGTTCGGACTATGTCAACCGCCGCGCCTACTTCATGATCCCTTTGGCCTTAGTCACATCCGTTGGCTATGCTATGATGCTCGGAGTCTCAATGGCGTCAACAGGTGTACTATACTTTGCAACCTTTGTTACGGCCACCGGCATCTTCTGCTGTGTTGGACTTAACGTTACATGGGTTATCAACAGCAATGCCGGTTATTTCAAGCGCGCTACCGCTATTGGTCTGCAGCAAGCCATTGGTAACTCAGCGGGCATCATGGCTGGTCAGATCTACCGCCTCTCCAATAGCGATGGTCGATACGTAATTGGCCATGCGGTATCCATCTGTGCAATCACAGTAGCAGCTTGCGGGTACGGCATCATGTACATTGTGCTTCGCAAGATAAACAGGAAGAGGGAGAGAATGACTATTGAAGAGAGGATCAGGGAGATTGACTCTGGGAAACTGGGCGATCGTCACCCGGATTTCCGTTATACTTTATAGGTTGTTAACATCTAATAACAGATATAATGGCATTTCAGGAATGGCTTGGTTTTTCGTATTTCATAGTTCTACACTTACGGTTTCGCATTTATTCCCTTGAACGTCTTCGTGATGTTGGTGATAGCCTCCTCGACAGGTAATCTCTCCATGGAGCTCGCACCATAGAAGCCATGTACACCCTTCGTCCGACTAACAACATACTCTGCATCCTCTGGCTTCGCAATCGGACCACCATGGCACAAAATAATAACGTCATCCTTGATCTCCGTCGCTGCATCCCGAATTTCCTGAATCAGCTTCACACACTCATCCAGACTTTTCCCCGTCGCCGCCCCAATACTCCCCGACGTGGTCAGCCCCATATGTGCAACCAGCACATCCGCACCTGCACTTGCCATCTTCTTCGCCTCCTCAACATTGAATACGTACGGAGTAGTCAAGAGATCCATCTCTCGCGCCATTTCGACAACCTCGACTTCAGCATCATACGACATACCCGTCTCCTCGAGATTCTGTCGAAACGCCCCATCGATCAAACCTACAGTAGGAAAATTCTGGATGCCCGCGAACCCGAGATCCTTGAGCTGCTTCAGGAAACGCGACATGTCGCGGAAAGGGTCTGTGGCGCAGACACCTGCGAGCACGGGCGTTGATTTGACGATGGGAAGGACTTCGCCGGCCTGTGATATATCAGCCTTCCATAAATTTTTCATATTCTTTAAATGAGAGAAATTGAATTAAAAGACGAGATGTTGGACTTACCATCTCAAGCACAACATCATTCGCATTGCCATACGGCATCAATCCAGCCAGTGACCCGCGCCCCGCCATGCGGTATCTCCCGCTGTTATATATTATAATCAAATCACCGCCACCTGCCTCGATGAATTTGGCGCTGAGACCAATACCCGCGCCAGCACCGACGATGATGTTTCCATTTTTGATTTGAGAACGGAGATTTTGTAGGATAGAGGCGCGGTCTGTGGGTGGAGACATGGCTAATATGTTCCGAATAATTAAAATTGTGGAAGATTAGGCGATGCTCGTGATTTCGAAGGCGATTGCGGCCATCACGTTGGTTCTAGGGACGATTGAGGAAGTGTAGTAGGATGTGATGACGTCATTTCTGGCGCGGGGGATGCGTGCATACATTACATGAGGATGACTTACTTGGGACCCACTGGCATTCCCGTGGAGTTGAGTTTGACCACCCCCTATTCCCTATCTATATCTATCGCCATGGCTCCTTCAACTTGCGTTGCACTTATTGGTACCTGTGATACGAAATTGGAAGAGTTGCTTTTTCTACATGAGAGCATTCAGCGGAATGATGCCAGTGTAGTTGTTATTGATGTGGGCCGCAAACCCATCGACCACGAAGCTATCGATATTACTCAACAGCAACTATTGAAAGATTTTGGTAATGGGGAAAAGGTCAGTGATCTGCCACGAGGCAAGGTCATCAAGGCCATGGCGGGCTGTGCTACAAAAGCCGTTAAGAAGCTTTATGAGGAAGGCAGAATTCATGGATTGATCAATGCAGGTGGCTCGGGTGGTACATCGCTGGCTGCAGAAGTGATGAGGAATGCTCTACCAATTGGCTTTCCGAAGCTAATTGTTTCAACCGTAGCGAGCGGTGACACCGGCCCAATCGTTGGAGAAACGGATATCACGATGATGTACAGCGTTGTTGACGTGGCTGGTTTAAACCAAGTTCTTCGAAATGTCCTCAGCAACGCTGGAGCTGCCATTGCCGGAATGTCTCGGACATATGCATCGAAGAGTAGGGATACAGCTCAACTGCAGAAGAAACGTGTTGGCATCACAATGTTTGGTGTCACCACCCCAGCTGTGGACGCGATTCGAAGGCATTTAGAAGCCAACTACGACATTGAAACATATGTGTTCCATGCCACAGGGCACGGCGGGAAGGCCATGGAGCGACTTGTTCGAGAAGGAGGTCTTGACGCAGTGCTCGATCTTACAACAACAGAGATATGCGATCACCTTACCGGCGGTGTCATGAGCGCAGGAGAACATCGCTTAGAAGCTGCTGCAGAGGCTGGAATACCAACTGTTGTATCTGTGGGTGCTACAGATATGACGAATTTCGGCCCAAAGAGTACCGTTCCGGAGCGCTACAAAGACCGCAAGCTGTATGAGCATAACCCAGTTGTGACGCTGATGAGGACATCAGAGAGTGAAGCCAGACAAGTTGGTGAATTCATTACGAGTCAGTTGAAGAAACATGCAAAGGATCCACAGGCGGTGCAGATTTGGCTTCCAAAGGGAGGAATCAGCATGATTGCAACACCAGGAGGGCCATTCGAAGACACGAAAGCCGATACTGCGCTCTTCAATGCTATCAACAATGGCCTCCAAGGAAGTGGAATTGATATCGTGGAAGACGACCGAGCAATCAACGACGAAGGATTCGCGCATGATATCGCCAAGGCTTTGGCTGCAAAGATGGGTATTGAGCGTAAAACCACCTGACACGACTGTAACGAGGCTGTGTCTATTTTCCAACTGCAAAGCCAATGCTTCACATCTCGAAGGATTTTTCAGACAGAAAATAGAATATGTGGCGTTGAAGCTCGGATAGCGGGCCCCTTGACGCCTAGAACAGGCGCCCCTTTGCAATTAAGGCGTGCTGCATCATTTAACAGCAGAACAACTACCATTGGTCGTATCGTCAAGCGCCGTGACTCCGGTCCACGCGAGAAGCACTAGAAGAATGCCAAACCGCCCTCTACCATAATCAGTAGACTAAACTCACGGCTTTTTCGTTCCTCGCAGCCTCGTTTCTTACGTTTCCTTGACCAAAGTCATTCGTTTCGTGATTTACTGCTTTTCACAATGTTTGCACGCAAAGCCGTGCTATCGCTCGCTTTTTCATGCCTTTATGGCAATGTCGCAGCCCTTGATTTGGACATCAACAGTAGAGGTAACATGGCGCGTTTTCTCACGTGCCGAACCAACCCCTAACATTTACAGATTCAATTGTCGATGCTGCAAAGACCCTAGCAAGTGGCATCGTAAAATATTACAACGCGAGTGTTTCCGAATCTGGAATTCCTGGCGTTTTCCCCGATGACTACTACTGGTGGGAAGCTGGTATCGTACTCGATGGGCTGATCGGATATTCGAGTTTGACTGGCGATAAGCAATACGATTCGTTAGTCTCAGAAGGTATTCAATGGCAGCGAGGCAAAGACTATGCCTTTATGGCGCGAAATCAGACGGCATCCATGACCAACGATGACCACTGCGCCTGGGGTCAGACAGCGATGAGTGCTGCGGAATTCGGCTTTCCAAAACCAGAGAATGGATCATGGGTAGACGCAGCCATCTCTGTGTTTGATGTCATGACCATGCGATGGAGCACTGAATTCTGTGACGGTGGTCTTTCTATGGGAATCTACAGCTTCCAGGTGGGATCCAGCTATAAGCAGACGGCCTCGAACGGAAACTTCTTTCTCCTCGCCTCTCGTCTTGCGCGGTTCACCGGCAATGGCACCTATACTGAATGGGCTGAGAAGATCTTTGACTGGGCGCATGGAAAGGGCTTTGTCACAGATGACTACCAGATTTACGACGGCGCCGATGGAGAACAGAATTGCACTGAGTTCAACGAAGTCCAATTCACCTACAACCATGGACTTTTCACTGAGGGCGCCGCCATCCTATACAACATCGTGAGTACAATCTTATACATGTATTTGAACAACGACTAATCACTTTATTAGACGGATGGTAAACAGAAATGGGCCGATGCAGTCGAGGGATTTGTAAACTCTACATCTCGCTTCGTTGAAAACGACGTTCTCGTGGAGACCGCCTGCGAAAACAACGGCAAATGCGGCATAGATCATCGGGCCTTCAAAGGTGTTGCTGCTCGTTCCTATGCCCGCGCTGCAGTTGCTGCACCTACTCTGACGGGTCCTCTGACTTTGATGCTGGAGAAGTCGGCCAAAGGCGCAGCAAAGGATTGTAGCAAGGGTCAGGGAGAGACAGGCGATGTTGCATGCTCGCTGAGTTGGGTAGATCAAGAAAGCATGTGGGAGTACAACACTGCTAGCGATGGGAACTTGGGTGAAGTTTTCAGTGCAATGGAGGTCGTGCAAGGCCTGTTGTACTCGCAGACGAAGATTCAAGGATCCAATGTTACTGGCAGCCCGGTAGAGGAGGGTGAAGCTTCAAAACCGTCGAACGGTGCTGGGTCGGAGGGAACTGGTGCGGCGGGTGCTGCGGGCACCATGACGGCCAGTATCACAGTTGTCCTGGCTGCTGCATTTGCCGCGGCTTTGCTATGCTAGTCACATGAACTTGGTGTATTGTAGTGTAGGAATCCAGACAACAGACCCCGGCCACGATTATCATACGGTCAACACGTGATGTGGGTCGAGTTTCCCGAAACGCGCATCCGTTCCCCGAGAGAGAGCTAAGCATGCCAAGTCTCGCAACTGCAACCAATGGGAGCGGGGCATGTGTTTAGCGGGCCTGTCTTGGGAACGAGACCTTTCGGGAATCATTCCAGCACATCCGCTGTCTTCCCCTCCCTTTTCTTCTTTTAAGCCTTTAGACGCCGGCTCCTACGTGCGTTGACAATGGTATCAGTCATGGATCTTCTACCGTTTGCGGTGGCCTTGGTCGCCATTGTGGGTGGCTACCTGGTATACTTCAGCAGCAGTAGCGGTAAGAGCATCCCAGCACAAGCAAAAGTAACACTTCAAACTAAACCCACCCAGCGCCCCGCAAAGTGCTCAAGCCCACTGAGTTCCAGGAGTTTGAACTCGAGCACAAGCAAGTCATCTCGCACAACACGGCCATCTACCGCTTCAAGCTGCCCCGTCCAACTGATATCCTCGGCCTCCCCATCGGCCAGCACATTTCTCTCGCCGCCACGATCCCCGGCCAGCCCAAAGAAGTCGTCCGCTCGTATACCCCCATCACCTCCGACGAAGACAAGGGCCATGTCGACCTCATCATCAAGTCGTACCCCACTGGTAACATCTCCAAATACGTAACCGAACTCAAGATTGGCGACAAGATGAAGATCCGAGGCCCCAAGGGCGCCATGGTATACACCCCCAACATGGTCAGACACTTTGGTATGATTGCCGGAGGCACCGGAATCACCCCCATGCTGCAAATCGCAAAGGCCATTATGCGCGGACGCCCAACAGGCGACAAAACCGAAGTCGATCTCATCTTTGCCAACGTCAACCCCGAGGATATCCTGCTCAAAGACGAACTTGATGCGCTCGCCGCCAAGGACCCCAAGTTCCGCGTCCACTACGTGCTTAACAACCCGCCTGAAGGGTGGAACGGAGGCGTCGGTTTTGTTACCGCCGATATGATCAAGGAGAAGCTTCCAGCGCCCGCCAAGGACGTCAAGGTTCTGATTTGCGGACCTCCGCCTATGGTTGCGGCCATGAAGAAGGCGACAGAGAGTCTGGGATTCGACAAGGCGAGGCCGGTTAGTAAGCTGGAGGATCAGGTTTTCTGCTTCTAAGTGCTTGTTGGCGTTGCAATGCTTGAGGTGTTTGGGCGAAGAAGACGTATAGGATGAGATTATGAAGGTTGTTAACCTTGTCATCAATGTGAATTGATACTGTAACGCAAAATTCGTGTATGTCGTTTGATGAAGACTTAAAGGATACGTGGTCACTTGTTCAAATCCCCCCCGGCTTTTTTTCTTCTTCTACAATTTCCACATTCGAAACTTTTGGTCCTGAATGTCATCATATATTATCAATTGTTTCTATCAATATGCCCGAAAACGAAATACCATCCCTTCCCCCACTTTTACACCACAACCCAATCCCTTCCTTTCCCCCTTTCCAACTCAGCACGCATAACCTGTCGTCCTTTCGTCAACGAAAAAAAAACGGGAACCAAAGCGAACCCCAAGAACACCAGCCAGCGAAAACGCCAGAAAAAAAAGAACAAGAAATCTACTCATTCAATGGTATATATATTTCTTCTCACACATACTCAACATAATAGGCGTACAAGAGCAAAAAAGAAAAAGAAAAGAATGCAAACGCGTGTCCCCCCCATGATTTCCGATAAAAAGAACACACGCTAATCCCGATGCTTTGGAAAAAAAAAGGGAGAGAACGCTTGAAAATGCCTTGAATGGATGCGAGAAGAGAATTGGATTGTTTTTGAGGGAAAGGGGTGGGGAGGGAGAATGCGGTAGGTATCAAACGACGAGGTGTATGTATCATGGTGAAGATGAGGCTCAGCGCATGGTAAATCATGTTATGCAAAGAGAGCGAGATGGAGAGAGGGAGAGAGACCCATTTTTTACTTCATGTCGTCAGCGCAAAAATAAGAAGAAGACATGAAAGAGAGAGAGTCATGAAGGGTCATTCGTTAAAGAGGAAGATGATGGAAAGAATAAAGAATAGTAAACAAAGTAGTTTTTTTTTCTCTCTTTAAAAAGAAGAAGAAGAAGACGACGGAAATTTTCAAAATCAATGCTCGTCTTCACTACTCCATCCCCCATCATCTTCTTGATCGATACTCTCCATGACTTCTTTGATGACGCCATGGCTTTTGGGGTCGAGATTCATGGCAATGGTTAGGTGGCGGATGGCACTTGAGCGGTCGCGCAGTTTCTTGTAACATCTTCCTAGTAGGAAATGGATGTTTGGGTCGTCGGGTGCGGCATCTTTGAGGTACAAGAGTTCCTTGAGGGCTTCTTGTGGGGCGTTGAGTTTGAGAAGGACTTGGGATTTGCGGAAGCGGGCCATGACGGAGCGGGGGTCGATTCGGATGGCATTTTCGAATTGCAAAAGGGCGGGCTCGATTTTCTTCATGCGGTCCAGAACCTGGGGGGATTTCTGTTAGTTGGGTGAAGTAGATAGTGTGTGTGTGTGTGTGTGTGTGTGTGTGTGTGTGTGTGTGTGTGTGTGTGTGTATGTGTAAAATGACTTACAAGACCTATTCGAACAAGTATCATGGCGTTGTTCTGGTTGATTTCTGCCGCTGCCCGATAGTGCTTCTCGGCTACTTCGTATTTACCCAGACGTTCATACACATTGCCCAGACCATACCACCCATTGTAGTGCCGGTTATCTGCACTGATGGCGTTGCGGTAAGCAGCCATGGCTTTGTCAAACTCTTCGTTTGCCACGTGCTCGTGTCCTTGTAGTGTGTAAGCATAGGCGAACTTTGGATCCAGCTGTGTAGCGCGTGAGAAGCATTTTACAGCATCATCATGCTGTCGGTCCAGAGAACTAGCATTGCCGAGTGCACACCATGCTTGTGGAGATAGTCGATCTTGATCCATAAGTGTGTGGGCAAGGTGGCCCAAGGATACCTCATCTTTCAGTTGCCATAGTGTGTTGGAATATACCTCCATATGCTCTAATGAAGAAGGCGCCATTTCTCGGATCTTTCGGAATGTGCTTCCTGCTTCTGCGTAGTGTGTGCGCTCGTAGTATGCTTTGCCGATTTGTGCAAGGACCCAAGGTGTTTCACGCTGTGCCTTGGGCACGGCTGTGAATGCTTCCAACGCCTTGGACGCATCATAACGACTCAGATGTCGATAGCCCGAACCAATCTTGAGGAGTAGGTCTAGCAACCAATTTAAAACCTCCCGCTCCCGTGATGTGTCAGCTTGTGGAGCCATTCTCGGAGGTGGTGCTACAGCCACTGGGGCCCCGTTTTGAGGTCTGCCCTCAGGTTTCGATGGCTCAGACGTCTCGATATGCGGTTTCCTGTTTCCACTAACAACTCTTCCTACAGTCGATGTAGTCCCTGATCGTGATTTAGGAGCTGCGGCTCTTGCTTTTCGCATCTCACGCCTCTCCTTCGACTCAATTTCTTTACTTGATATCATCCCTTGCCGTGGGTTTGACGGTCGGATCTGGGTAATGGAGTTTAACAACCTCACACTGCGCCGTGGTGGCGCTGCAGTGGGGTCCAACGGTTGAGGAGGTGCGTTCTGCGTTTGGTGTAATGAATGGCCAGACACGGTTCTCTTATGTCCGTTCTGGTATACGGGTCGTGGGATGTCCGTCTGGTCGCCATCTGGATTCGTCTTGGTGCGTACCCTTGAAGTGACTGCCCGTGACATGACAGGGCCACCAGTTTCAGCCATCATAACATGTTCATCATGCATATTCTGACCATTCGCCACTGGAGTATCGAATTCGTGGTGCGAGTTGGGTTGCGTAGCGCGACCATTCAGCTTTGAAAGCAGATTCGATCCTCCCATATTTAGCCCACCGTCGCTGGCTTGCCTTGTGTTGAAGGGATCTATTTCGGGTGTTTGGGCGAAGGGAAGCATATCGGGTGTGATCTTGAAGATGTTGTGTGGGCGGACGACGGCGCCAATATCGCAAAGGCCGGTGAATGCATCCCACATGAAGGAATTGATCTTAAGCGCTTCGACGAAGTAGTCAATGGCTTTCCTCGTATCACCATGTGCTGCGTATAGTTTTCCTAGTAGGCAATAGCAGGCTGCTGCATCTGGAACGTGTCGTCGCGAAGTCTCGGAGTGTTTATCTACGTTCTTTGTTAGCGGATCTGGGCCGAGAAGTAGGCCGGGAAGGCCTGCGTGGACAACCTACTCCAATGGTTGCGCCCTGCCCACAGACTGCGCACCTTCTCCAGCGCCTGGCCACCCTGCTCGTAGCGGCCTAGGGCGAGACAAGCGTGGGCGAATACGTAGGCGCATCCCAGATGCTGCGTGTGCATTCCCTTGGTGCGCGCATCGTCAAAGGCGGCCTTGTATCTACCGAGGCGAAGATTGCAGAGGGCAAGCAGGTGGGCTGCATCTGGATTGCGGGGTTCGAGTGCTTGCAAGCGGCCAGCGAGGAACAGAGCGTTTTCAACAAAGCCGTTGTCGAGATGGTAGTGTATGAGCTGGCGCAGCTGGGCATTGACGCCTGGCGGGGGTGACATGCTTTCCTGACGACAAGGCGAGGATCTAGGCTGGAGGGCTCATAGTACGAGTGGTCATGGGAAGAGCGGAGGTGGTGGTAAGACTTGGTGAGGGCGTGGGCCGGGGGGTCGTTGTAGGGAAGGCGTGTTGTGGTGAAGGTCGTTTGAGTATCTCGGTGGCTGTTCGGAGTGTTGCTGGTGGCGTGTTCGACAAAGTGAATTGGTAAACACGGGTTTACACAACTCCAACGGCAGTAGAGATCGGTATAGTTCGGACGAGTGCGCAGGAAGAAGAGACGGCGGCGGCGATGTTCGCGACGTTTGTTGCTCGCCTTTGTCGCGATCTAGGCTGCGCGCGCTTGTTATGGCGCTCGGGCCATACACATCACAATCCTCCTTCACAGTTCCGCACCCTGTTTTTTTGCTACTTCACCGCACTCGCCGTCATCATGGCACAGGTACGTCTTGCACGCCACATCAGTCCTCCGCCGCGAGATGCGTCGTCGAAGAAACCCATCTCCCCTCGACAATCGCTCATCCCTTGCCTAGAAAGCTACCAAAACGCTTGCCGCCTCCAACACCAAGCGCCTTAACCAGACCCTCTACGTCACACTAGTTGTCCATGGCTTCTGGTGGCTGTTCCGAGCCCTCATCTTCCGTGCCTCTCTATCCCGAAAGTCGCTGCTTCTCTACCTGCTCCTATCGGCCCCGCAGCTCCTCATCCAGCTTTACTTTGAGCGTCTCTCTCGCCCCACCCTCACTGCCGATGGCGCTGTGAAGCGACCCGGCGAGGACCTCGATGCCAAGGGCCTGACCGAGTACATGTGGGATGTGGTTTACTGGACTTATGGCTGCATCGTTCTGGCTGCCATTGTGGGCGACTATGCTTGGTGGTTGTGGACCATCATCCCCGCCTACAGTGCCTATGCTGCCTGGGGCACTTACTCTGGCATGAGAGGCGGCTTCCAGGATGCCGCAGGTGTGCCCCAACCGCAGGCAAGCAAGAGACAGGCCAAGATGGAGAAGCGGGGTGGCCAGAAGGTCCAGTACCGGTGAAGAAAAGAAAAGTCATGTCGAATCTTCTACATGGCAGAGCCAGCAATGGACTTGGTTCGTGTACACCATGTCACAATGCATGCTCTTGTAGGAAAAGTCGTAATCATTCATACGCCCTGTTGTAGGCATGTAGAGTCGTGATCATACAATATGTTATACATCAAGGAAGCCCATGCCATGGACTGCGTAAGAGTTTGGGGTTGCTTCGTTGTTTCCCTTGTGCGATCCTTGTGTGGACGCGTGCTTTGATCATGTGATTTTACAATAAGATGCACCTATGCTTCTACCCGCGTAGGGATCTTGGGTATACCTCGTTTGCGATCCTGATGTGGTACACCATACCGCCATCCAGCTGCCGCTGCTCCTCTTCCATCGCGTCCCGCAGCCTCGACACTAACATCCTGGATGACAAAATCCCATCTCCGTTGGGGCACCACCTTCAGGGCCTTGAGCTCGGCCTCCTTCTTTCTCTCCTCTCTCCTCTTCTGCTCTTGTTGCTTTTCTAGGCGCTCTTCAGCAAGCTTCCTTCGCTCTTCGAAGCCAAGGCCTGCCTCGAGTTCACGCTCTGCCTGCACTAGTTCTGGGTGGGGGATACGCGCATCAGCAGGCAGGAGGTTGTTATCAAACGCCTTGCCAGCATCGACACGTGTAAAGCGGCGCGACTCGGCGACTGGTACAAATAGTTGTTGTCGTGTCGCAGGGTGCACAATGAGGTCATTAATAGGTTCATGAGTGACTGGCCTCTTGCCTTTGTTTTGTGGCAAAGAGGGGTCAATATATGGTGTTGTAGGAAGCATGGAAAGGACAGCTTTGGAGTAAGGTAATGCCATCTTCTTGCCCTGTTGAAATCGCGTCAGCAATTGTTGTCAAGCGTGTTGCGGTTCATATAGTAGATGTAGTGACGACGTTCAGCAAGAGCATGACTTAAGTTTTGTAACCATGTGGGTGTCTTAAAGACTAATCGATTTTTTAAGAAACTCATCATGTCGTGGGAAGGTGTAGAAGAAAAAAATGTAACATACCTGGGCTACCCACTCCTTCTCCATCTGCTTCAATCGCACCACGGCGCCGACACGCTCGTTGCTGACGCCGAACTCGACGCTAGCAAGTGAGACGGTCGCACCTTCCTTTTTCACTCGGTTGTATATCGCTTCGCGCAAGTCCTCACTCAGGACTGGTTGACTGCGAAAATACGGATTGAGGGGAAATGGTCGCAAGTCTTCCGCCGTTTCTGGGGGAAGCTTGCCATCATCCGCCTCTTCGCCTTTCTTGCTCATCTCCTTGTTTTCAGCATCACTAGACCGTATCGCTGCTTCCAGCTCGTCCAGATTCTCCTGTGCTTCAGGCGTCTTCTCCTCGGCCGGCTTGTCCACCTGGGATTCGGCATTGGATGTGTCCGTCTTGGTCGCAGTAGCAGCTTTCGCAGCGCCATCCTTTCGCCATCCTGGACCTGCACGTACTAGGTTGCCATACCTGTCGTAGGCTCCTAAGTAGTTTGTTGAATCAGGTATGGGTTCCTTTAGCTGTCGGCCAGGCCCATTGAGCCACTCATAGAATTTCCTCCGCCGTAACGTCACTTGGGCACATGGTGTCTGTGAAAATTGCCGCGACGACCGTACTGGCAACGACGAAGTATGTGGCCTTGCAACTGAGCACGAGGAAATCTGTGGGACAGCTGGTGCTGAAAATTTTGAAGCTTGTAACCGAGGAGGCATGTTGGGTCAGGCAGATGCTACCGCATTGGCGTAGGCGAATAGAATTACAAGAGGGGAAGAAGAAGGGAAGAGGCGGATGGGTATGATAGGCAGTGATGCAGCAGAGTGTGAAGTGATGGTTAGCTTGCAGGAAATTCTGAACAAGTCGGAATTTGTGGCTAGCGTCTTGGCATCCATACACAGCGTAGCCTTTGCACTTTTGCACTACAGCAGAAATGCAACTGGATATTATACCGCGAATTGAGCCAATTGATATGATCTTGATCAATAAATTCTTCAACTGCAACAGCTTCATAAAATCTACGCAATCACACATGAAGCAACAAATGAAAGCATAGCATCACCATGGCCAATGAGGTCTTGTTAGATGCACCTTAGATTCCATCCCTAACTCCACATTTGCATTTAAAAGGGTATTGAGTAAAACAAGGCCGTTGCATACAGAGCAAAAGCCACTGCGAGGGGAACATGAGCGAAACGTGAATGCCAACGAATCAATACGCTGTAGAGACAGGATAGTGTCCAGCCCAGACATATCGTAGCGCTGCATGCGCATCTATCGTGTAAATGAGCCCCTAAAAAAACGAAACGAAACAATCGTGAACTAATTCAAGTGCTCTCCATGCAAAGACACAGACACTTGCATGTTCTGCTAGTCGCTCATGGAAAGCCAATGCCCATTAGAACTTGGTCGCGCCGAACAATGAGTACCAGTAACAAATGTGCTGTAAATGAATAAGAGAGAAACGACATCAGAAAAAAAACCCCAAATATACGCCCAAAACATGAACATGGGAATGTCCATGCAATCCGGCTTTCCTGCGAAAATGACAGAAGAAATACTCTGGATAAATGCAAGCCCGAGGACAGTGCATAGGAAGAGAATAAAAAAAAAGATGAGAAAACAAATGGAAACTCTCTCCGAACTCCATGGGGGTACCAAATGAGCAATCGCACAAGGGGGAATCATCGCTGTATGCTGGAAAGAGGTCCACGTCCAACGGGCATGATAGCCCAGGAGATTCCGCGCCAGTACCCATGCCCGTAGTTTAATGAAGCCAAATATAACCCAGACACTCAACACCTTGCCATGACCGAAATGACTGAAAATAGTGTCAGCAATAGACGAAGCAAAATTTGCAAATGCTCTGTGATGAATGCGCCGTCAACTCCGTTATCATCACTCGTAATGGCATAGCAGATTAGTATGGGTGCGCCTAGCGCCCCATCATGAATGAGGAGTAGCCTCCAAAGCCGTTGCCGGTGCCACTGGACGCTAGTGGTTGACGCATCGAGGCAGCCATGTCGTTGGGACCCATCCCGAATCCCCCATTGGCGTACATGCCAAAGGGAGAGCTACCATTGGCGTGGCCTGCCGCGGATAGGCCGGGAGGTGCTGACAAGCCTGGCGGTGGGCCAGTAGCGGTTGAGAAGCCAGGAGGGGCAGCGACGCCGTTACCAAAAGCTGAAAGAGGGGTAGTTGGGGTGATGGCAGATTGCGGACCCATGCCAGAGTTCTGACCGCTGCGCACACCCAAGGGATTCTTGGAAAAACTCAGGCGGATGCCGCCCTTGACACTGTTGTGGAGCATGTATCCGTAAAGTTCGTTGAGAGCCTTGGTAGCAAAAGACGTGTCCTCGAATTCGACAAAGCACATGGGGCCATTCTGCTTGGTCCGGAAACAGAGGCGCTTATATCCGCGCTGCTTCGAAAAGACGGCTTTGAGCTCGTCCTCGGAGGTATCCATTGGGAGATTGCCCACGTAAAGAGTGTTGCATGGCGGGTTCTGATCGGCTGGATTCACCGGGGGATACGTGGGCCTTGCAAAATGCTGAGAGTACTGCTGGTAGCCAGTACTCGGTCCACTACTCAAAGCAGATGGAATGCTATGTGGCGACATGGCAGACATGGTAGACATTGTGGGAACTGGCGATTGCATGTTGGAACCGGAGCGAGGGGATGCATAGTTTGACATGGGCGGAGATTTGACTCCAGAAGTGCCGTTGGTGTTGAGAGAAAGACTTCCAAAACGCTGGACGGGGATGGTGGAAGAGTTTGGGTTTGTGGCGCGGCGCTGCATGCTTGACTGAGCCTGGGGGCCACCAGTGGCATACCCAATCGACTCGTTCAGCAGCCCATCGTCATCATCCGCCTCGTCGTTGATGACTGACTTGCCCAAATTGCGGCTTGCAAAAGACGTGTTGACGGGAGATGTCGGCGAGAAGAGGTTGTTGACCGGGAATTCTCCGTTGCCAAGACCTGGGGTCCCGTTGGGTGGGGACATCTTCTCCATGTTTTGGAAGGTGCCGTTGTATCGCGATGACTGTCGGCCATTGGCAGTCGAGGTGGACATTGAGCTTACCACAGAGGCCTGGCGCGCGGGTATGCTGTCGAGGGTGTTGCGACGCGACCCGACGGTGCCGGAGGGTGCGTCGTGTATCAACTCGACGACGAGTGTGGCATCGTTGGTGGCATTGCGCTTGCCGTTTAGCAAATCGCGGGCTTCCTTTGCGCCCTCGTACGTCTGGAAGTGGGCAACGGCACAGGCAAAGCCCTTGTCGTCTGCGTGCCTGGGCTGTGAGAGGACCTCGCAGTCAATGAGGTCTTTGGCAAAGAGGAGAATGTTGCGCACTGCCTCACGGTCGCTGTTGCTGGGCAGCTTGCGCAAAAGAATGCTGTGGCGAGGGCTGATGACGGAACCTTTGTCCAGGGGTCTGCGCTCTCCGATTGCGCCGGGGGTAGGGTAGGCGTGTGGTGCAAAGGCGTCGGCAGTCATGGTGTTGTGCGAGGCAAAGAGCTTTGGTGGCGACGACGATGTGGAGCTGGTGTGAGAACCGTGAGGAAAGGGGCTGTTGGACAGGACCGAAGGACTTGTGCTGCTGGGGCTAGGTCTGGTGGCCATGGTGTCGTGTGTGGTGACGCTGTCGGGACGGGTGTCGCAGGGACAAAGGGCGCGGCCAGAAGGGTGCGACGGGCAGCCGAGAGCAGCGCTGGCAGGCAGCGGGAGACGGGATGAGCATGCGCCAGAGACAAAGAGAGAGGTCGTATGCGCAGGTGGAAACGAAGGGGATATGCGAGAGAGCGAGGTGACGGTGGTGTGCGGAGGGTGGGCAGAAAACAGGCGTCGACTCAGGCCAGCGATGGTGGTAGGCAGAGGGGCTTTTTGGGCGCAGACGCGGACTCGAGCTGGGAGCGACGGCGAGCCTGGGCGATCCGCGCTGTCGAAGCGGCCTGGGGGGTGGGACGCTTAAGCCAATGGGCGGCAGGGCCAGGAGCCGCGCCGGGTGTCGTCAGAGGATATACGCACTTACAGGCACACTGCAGCCGTAGAGGGGAGGATGATGGTAGTAATGGTGGTGCCCAACTAGTCGCAGCTGTCTTGCACCTGCTCTTGTTTTTCTCGATCGCCGTGGTGCTAGTCGCCGTGGCAGCAGAGGACGAGGAGCTGGGGGGGTGTAGGGATTGCAGCCTTGCAGGAGTGGGAAAGGGATGGTGGTGGTGGTGGCAGTGGTGGGGAGGATGATGTTGGAGAAGGAGGACGTGATTGTAGTGGTGGGGTGGTGGTAGTAGTAGTAGTAGTGGTGGAGAGGCAAGTAGGGGAACAGAGCAAGGCAGGGCAGGGCAGGGCAGAGCAGGGCAGGGCAGGCAGGCAGGCAGAGACAACGGTTGGGGGTGCGACTGGCTTCTGCTTGGTGACAAGCCAGCGGAGGCGGCGCGCATTGGGAGCGGACCATGCTTGGGGGAGGGAGGGGGGGGGAAGGGAGAGCCACAGTGTTGAGCTAGTTTGATTACATATTGTGTGCGAGTGGTGGATTCGCTGTCGCACTCATGGACAGGTACACGCTCCGTCGCTCTCGCCTCTCCGTCGAAGCGAACAGACGCCACGCAGTACAGGGCGGACGAGTCGAGCATGTCGTCGAGCCGTGTGTGTAAGTAGTGTGTATCATGCCTCTCTGTGCTGCGTGGGAGTCGGCTGGAGCAGCAGGGGCGGGCGTGTGAGCAACGTTGGGTCTAGGCCGGGGCGCAGCTTTAGCCTACGCATACGTACTGCGGACTTTGTTGGACTCTGTGGTGTGCGGCATGTCGCGGATTTGGGTGCAGGCACAGCACAGGCAGGCTCCACCACACGGCGCTCATGCTCATGCTCATGCTCATGCTCATGCTCACAGGCTGACCGGCCCTCCTCCCACTCCGACCATGGTGGCAGCCCGCGTTTGTGGTTGTGGCTCCTGGTGCCTGCCCCAGCCGTGGCCGCGCTGGCGACCAAGCCCACCATGCCCACCTCGCCCGGCTGTTTGGCGCACCAAGTACCGGGCCTCGAGCGAATCACGGCTGCGAGCGGCGCCCACAGCGAGATCGGCCTCAGGACCCAGCGCTCGACAGATCCACGGAACTGCTGTTCGCCAATGGCCGTCGCCTTAGGCCCTCGCTGCGCCCTACGACGCCTCTCTCTGCCTCTGCTCTACTCTGCCTCTGGTGCCCGCGAACCACGGCGGGCGGCCTCTTCTTGGGCGCCTGTTCGGTGCTGCTTGCTGCTGTGCCCAACCTTATCCCTCCTCTGCGTCGGAAACCCATGTCATCTTTTAGGTCAGGCAGCAGACGCAGCATCCCATCCATCCACCCATCCATCCATCCATCGGCTCTAGCCACCAATCACCCATGCCCGCCGCTGCCCTCGGCATGCCGGTCCACGCCCGAGCCAAAAGCAACCACCGTCTTTTCTTGACAATCTCCTCTCGACCTCTCGCCGGCAAAACCCCTCGTCGCTGTGACTGGCCACGTGCACCGCTGCCAGATGCATGGCGCTCCCGCTCACGCTTCTTCTTCGACTAGAGCCAAGCAGTGGGCCCCCATCAGTCTCGCTGATTGGCCAACTGCCCAAAAAGCCTGTTTTCCGTCCTACCCCTGCCTGCATCCCCATTGGCCCGCGCCCCCATCCATGTTCCGTACATACTTACTTTGTCTCCTGCCATCGCCTGTCCAACAACCCTCTCGAGTCACGGTGCGTCAGTTCATCACAAAAGTCCTGTAACCCAAGCCAGCCAGACAGCCAGCAAGTACCGCCTACCTACATACTTACTTGACACGACCCTTTTCCTGCTTCATGACCTGTGCGTCGTTACATGCGCCACTTCCTCGTCCACGCCGGCAACCTTCCCCAACACTATACACTCACACCCTCCCTTCCTCGGCCGCTCAAACTATCTTGAAACGTTATCATCCTCTCCCATGTGATAGTTCCACTCGCATCCGCTCGCCTCCTCGGACTTTCATGCTCATTGTGCAATCTCGTCGCGACCACCAATCATGCCCCAACACCACTACACCCAGCTAAACCCATCTCAGCCCCGTGAAATGATGAAAGTGGCGCCTTCCTTAGGTAGAATGTCCACTCTCCAAGTGGTGGACACGCTATCTCTGGCTGCTGATTGGACAGGTTCCGGTATTACCATCACATCTACCCTGGCTCCCCACGAGCCACAGAACGTTGCGGTTTGACTGTAACACCAACACCTATGTCGAGCCCCTAGTATTCATGTTAGACTGTAAGAACACTGATTACCCACTTGGAAGCATTCGGCAAGCACTGCATGGCCAAACTGTATACCGACAAATCCCTTGGCCCTCTCGATTCATCACATGTTGCACAAGCAAGAGGGCTTTTCAACCACCTCAGCCTTTGTTTCTTCATCACGTGCCTATGCACAACAGCACAATTTCGTATAAAAAAGACCAATCACTAGAGTGAGAGTACTCTGACCCATCGTTCGCAGCACATATGATGATCAGCCGTATCCCAGCTGACGATCTTGGTTCATGTAATATAGCCCAATCATGACAAAGAAGCATGAGTCTCTTGCCTTACATGCGGCCAATGGCAATACCTTACTCCCACGTGGAATGCCAGCTATCACTAGCATGAGCAACACAGTATACGCCTTTGCTGCCTAGACCCTCTAGTACATATCAAAAGAAAAAATGGGGGGTTGCGATGCATGCTGTCAAAGTTACATCGCAACACTACCAGTATGTATCGTGTCTTGCCATTGACAAATCATATCAATAGCCCTTGATCGACACCTCCGACCGCAAACCAATAGGGACTTTCCCTACAACCTTGCACGAAACGATGGAGAGTGTGTCTCATACAACAAAGGACTCTATCGCACTTGCCTCGCACTCGCCACCAGTCATGCAACAACCAATCAAAACGTCACATGCTGCGCCACATCTATAGTACGTCACCACTATCTGCATGTGATTTGTACATAACGGCAGGAACGGGCAACTGTTGGTTTAAACATCAATAAAGACGGTGGTCCTGTTGTATGATATTGCTCGCCATAATCCGAAGGGTCCGGAATCATAAACAAGTGTATCTCAAGAAAGCGCGGTTGATATTACATACAAGGTACAACCCTCAATCCGCCATAATATCCCCATACCACTGGATATCTACCAGCCAGTAACGCCCCTCTATCATCTGGTTCAACAGTCTGCTCATCGCAGAAGAGCAGGTGTACCACCCGCTTACGTACTCATACCCCCATCTCGCCACCTCAACAGGGTTCCTACACATCAACATCTCACACCCTATTTCACAGGACTTCCCTATCAAATCAAACCAACCCAATCCCCCATGGCCGGTCTCATCGCCATCGGCATCGGCCTAGGCGCCGAAAAACTCGGCCGCACAATCTCTGACAAAAGACTCGAACGAAAAGAGAAGAAAGCCATCGCTGTATGTACATTTCCCTTCCAGTTCAATAAACTATATCGCTTCTTTTTTTTCGAATACTGACATTTGAGAAGCAACATGAAGCTATATACGGCACTTCGTCGTCTGCGCCCCCGCCGCCAATGACGACGAGGCAGCGCCAGGAGCAGATGCTGAGGAAGCGGGCGGATGCGCAGAGAGTGCTGGATGAGGCGCGGAATGGTGAGCGGTCTGAAGAAGGGTGTCGTCATAGGAGGAGTTTGAGTGGGGAGAGGGCAAGTGGGGAGGAAGAGGCGCCACCGCCGAGTTATAGTGAGGCGGTGCGGGAGGGTGCGAGACGAAGTTGAGTTATGTTTTACGGTTTTTGATCTGGTGTTGTTTTGATTTTGCGGTATTTGCTACTTCAGTTTACTTCATGTCACCCTTTTTTCTTCAAGTTTATCGGACTAGCACGTCCAAATCTTTTCCATTTGACGCCTGGTACAAAGTTTTGCAATCGCTGCCACGCCACTGTGCTCTGGTGCTTAGGATTCATTATGGCTTTTTTCTCTTCAGACAACTTTTCATTTTACTTGCTGTATCATCACGCATGGCTATCCTATACGCTTTGCTCCCATCAAGTCCACCTCAAGTACACTTCCACACCATCACCCTGTAATTTTCTTATTTCGTACCAAGTCAAGTCATGTTTTGTTTGCTATCGCCGTTTCACTCCAGACTACACTAACTGCGCACTCATATCCACGCCAAGCAACCACTCACTCACTCACTCACTCATCGTTTCCGTCTACTCTTTCCTATTTCGTTTGCCACACAAACCCTTTTCTAGCGTCAGTGAGTGCACTATATATTTCTCCCACTCACATCAAAACAAAGAGAGAGGAATTCTCACTACACGACGCTCTTTACTCCATCTCACTACGCAGTTCAGGTTCGACTCTAGCACCTACAATTCGATCTAAAGCCTCCACACTACACAAGAAAGCAAGCAGTACGCATCATGACGCACGACCTCGTCGAAGCGCCCGTCACGCTGCGAGGATATCTCCTCTGCGTCTTCGCGGCCTTTGGTGGGATTCTGTTCGGGTATGACTCTGGGTATATCAATGGAGTGCTTGGCATGTCGTTCTTCAAGCAGCAGTTTGGGAGTAAGTTCAGTCCAAACACTGTGCTAACCTTTGAGGTGACTTGATGTGTTGTCTGTATACTAAGCATACGATCAGGCCCTTCGAACGACAAGGATGCGTACAACAGTCCCATCTACAAGACGTGGGAGAAGTCTCTTATCGACTCCATCCTCTCTGCTGGTACCTTCTTCGGCGCACTGGCTGCAGGCTCTGTGGCTGACTGGATCGGTCGTCGCTCTACCGTCATTGTGGGATGCGCTATCTTTTCTGTCGGAGTCATATTCCAAGTCGCTTCTACCACCGTAGCTCTGCTCGTCCCTGGTCGCTTGATCGCCGGCTTCGGTATCGGATTCGTCTTTGCCATCATCATCCTATATATGTCGGAGGTGGCCCCGAAGCGCTTCCGTGGCGCTATTGTATCTGGATACCAGTTCTGCATCACAATCGGCTTGCTTCTAGCGTCAGTTGTGGACAATGCGACAAAAGACCGTATGAACTCGGGCTCATACCGAATTCCAATGGCTCTTCAGTGGCTGTTTGCTTGTTTCTTGGGTATTGGCCTTTTCTTGCTCCCTGAGTCGCCTCGCTGGTACGTCAAAAAAGGTCGTACCCAGGATGCTGCACGTGCTCTTGGAACTCTCCGCGGACAGCATTTCGAATCAAGATATATCATTGATGAGCTTAAAGAGCTGACTGACAATCACGACTACGAAATGCGTAATATACGCACAGGCTGGGTTGATTACTTTCGAGGTGGATGGAAGCCGTCTAGCAACCTCCGCCGCGTCGTGTTGGGAATGGCGCTCCAGATGATGCAGCAGTGGACTAGCGTCAATTTCAGTAAGTCATATGGATCAAGTACTTTGAAGGCATCTAACACTTGATTAGTCTTTTACTACGGGTCAACCTTCTTCAGGACCGTCGGACTCGAGAATGCTTTCCTCATCTCCATGATCACCACTGCAGTCAACGTTGGATCTACCCCTATCTCCTTCTGGACTATCGAGAAATTTGGCCGCCGCATGCTTCTCATCTCTGGAGCCATTGGCATGCTCGTCTGCGAGTTCGTCATTGCCATTGTCGGCACAGTCGATGAGGGCAGCAAGGCCGCTGGGATATTTCTGATCGTCTTCACCTGTTTCTACATCTTCTTCTTCGCGTCAACCTGGGGACCAGCAGCCTGGGTAGTCATTGGAGAGATATTTCCTCTGCCCATCCGCGCCAAGGGCGTTGCTCTTTCTACTGCTAGCAATGTAAGTAGTGTTGACGTATACAATATTCAACGAAGAAATGCTAACTTGAACAATGGTTCTGGAACTTCATCATCGGTTTCATTACTCCCTACATGGTCGATGAGAGCTATGGAAATCTCAAGGCAAAGGTTTTCTTCGTCTGGGGTGCTACGTGCACTGCCTGCGTTGTTTTTGCCTATTTCCTAGTGCCTGAGACAAAAGGTCTCTCTTGAGCAAGTTGATCGCATGCTTGAGGAGACTACGCCGCGCACCTCGTTCAAATGGGTTCCTCATCATCTACGCGAAGGCCACACAGATGGATCTTCTCCAGAAACGAATGAGAAGATGGGTCACCAAGGCCCGCTTGAGCAGGGCGAGCAAAAGGGCGTTTGAACTGTTTTCGGTACGTGATACCGGTGGCTGCAAGACAAATTGTTATATAAGAAAGACTGTCCGAAGTTCTATCAGAAAGGGTTTTGGCCAATGCCGCTAGAATCATAGTTTAGAGTACTAGCGCTCTGCGAGACAGGGTCTCGTAACTTGAAAGTTTTGTGCTATACTAGCATAGCCATGTAATTGTCAAACAAAAAAGTAGACCTATCAGTTCTTTGCTCGCCTATTGTGACTTGACCGACATATTTGCACGTTATACGCGGGACTGTTGCGGAATGTCAAGTATCAGAAGTGAAACATGATGTGTAAGCCTCCCGGGATGTGGAGTTGATGACAGCCTCGCGCGGAATTAGTGCGCGCCTCAACACTGTAGCTGACGGATGGATTGTAAATCGCCTCGGCAACCAGACATTACTACATGCCGACCCCGATGGCAACATTAAGCGGTGAGATGGCATATGAAACCTTTGCGCATGTATCGTAGTATTGACTAAAGGCATTTGTAGTTGCTTACGGCATACGTTCAAATCCCAACTGATCACGTCATACCATGGCCGTTTTAGCTGCTCGCTCACTGTTCATCGGCCTCATATCGGGCTTGCTTCTTGCCTTGCTGCTGCAGAATATACTAGCACCAAGATTCCAATCGCCGGACCAGGACATATCCGAAAACCGTTTTTCCACGGATTCCCCACTACAACTTTCCGAGTCCATGGCGCAGATGCTGAGCAATACCCTGCGCGCAGCCAGGTATCGTGCGTGGGTCGGCGGGGGATACAAGAGCGTGGCCTCACCCCTCCGTTTGACACCACAGTCCTCAATCATCTCTTCTACTACTACTACTACTACACCAAACAAGCTTGCCTCTTCCTCTTCCGCTTTTTCAACCACATCGCCCAGCATGTCTGCTCAAAAATCTTTCCTTGACGCCATCAAGGAACGTCGCACAATCTACGCACTCAACAAGGAATCGCCCGTCTCAGATAAGAGGATTACTGAACTTGCAGAGCTGGCTCTGCTTAATGTTCCTTCATCCTTTAACTCTCAGAGCACCCGTCTTGTTGTGCTGTTGAACAAGGACCATGACCAGTTTTGGGACTATGTTCTTGAGGTTTTGAAGCCTCTTACTCCCGAGGACAAGTTCGCTGGGACGCAACAAAGAGTTGGAGGATTCAAAGCTGGTTACGGAACAGTATGTACCCCTTCTCTTCCTATATTGCCGTCGCTATGGAGGTCTTGTAATATGTGCAAGGGTTGTATTACCCCACCATACAAGACCCAAGCTTCGTCCCCGACCACCAACTGCAAAGCTTCATGCCGGAAGCATTAAGAAGCACAAAAGCATGAACTAACACAACCCTAGATCCTCTTCTACGAAGACCCCGAGCCAGTCGAAGCCCTCCGCAAAGCATTCCGTACGTCCCCTCCCCCATCTCCCCCCCAACCATCCTTTCACATAACTAACCCCCAATCCCCGCCACACAGCCCCCTACGCCCACCACTTCGGCGACTGGTCCGAGCAAACAAACGCCATGCACCAATTCGCCCTCTGGGTCGCCCTCGAAGCAGAAGGCTTCGGCGCAAACCTCCAGCACTACAACCCCGTCGTCGACCCCAAGGCCGCAGAGCACTGGAAAATCCCCCTCGACTGGAAACTCCGCGCTCAACTCGTCTTTGGCGGTCGCGCCGGCGGACCTGGTGAGAAGGAGAGTAAGCCTACGCATGGAACTAGGTTGTTTGTGCATGGAGCGAAAATTTAGAGGATTTTTTTTCTCGGTAGAGGAATGTACGTAGAGAGGAGAATATACCCTTTGGATGTTTTATTCTTTTATTACTCTCGTTGTTGCTACATTTTTTTTTTGGTTCGCGAATCCTCGTATCCTACATATTGACCAACGCGAATTCATACTTACTACCCATTCACCATCATCCCTTTATCTCTCTCTCTCCCAAAATGTAAATCTTTGCCATGTCACCGAGCGTTCTAGCATTCGAGCAATCTCCCCTTCCCTTTCCCCTCCCGTATATATATATTTCTCTCAACGACAAAAGTCGCGATGCAAGGCAGACTTTCCCTCCCCCCAAAATCCTATTTTTAACCATATACACCCGTTCTCCGTTCATCCTGTTTTTTTTTTGGTTGCTCGGTGAGGCTGAGGCTGAAGGCTGAAGCACACACACACACATCCATACATCCACACACGAAAACACAGCCCGTTACTAGTGGGGCGGGTCCCCCCTTGGCCGAATCGACCGAATAACCGGTCCGACCGATATGCCCGCTAGCGTTGTGGTTAACTCCGTAAGTTGGGTAGGAGGAGGTGGAGGTTGGTGGTCGGTGTGGCGGAGATAAGGGTGTAGTGTGTGTGAGAGAGTTTGGGGGGGGGGGGTGTTTTTGGTTTGCTGCGAGGACGGGGTATGGTATAGAATGTCTGGGTTAGTATGGGGTTGAAATTCTCGTCATTAGGTTTTTTTTGTGTGGAAAAATGGTATTGTAAGTGGTCATGTCTCACTGTAATTTGAAGAAAAAAAAGGTTGATGAGTTTTTTTTTTGGCAGGGGAGCGCGGAGGGTAGTATGGTACTCATAGAACGGTTATACTACTAACGCTTTTCATCTTTTTGGAGACAAATTAAACAATCAAGATTTTTCCTCCTCCTATAGATGCTAATGCAAATTCAAGGAAACCAAGCAGTTCTACTACAGACTCATCAAAGCCGCAGTGCTATGCGTACTTCCAAAACAATGTCATTTTTATGAACACGCGCGTGTATCTATGCATGTCGATCTTCTTTCTTCACAGCCTCGCTACCAAGACGAAAGATACGATAAGGCGTCCCGTCCTGCCCCTTGCATATCTGTCTCCATTGCGCATAGCCCATCTTGCATCCTGTTAAACCAACAGAAGGCCCGTCTTGTAGTGCGCAGTAAGTAGTCGGCGATGTCGTTCTCGCTAGACTCAGCCTCATCCGCCCCCATCTGCTGGTGGGCTTGGCAGGGCCGATGCTAGCGTCCGCCATTTTACGATTCCCGGTTGGTGGGTTCAAGCTTTTCGGTTCTTTTTGGCTCTATGTAGAATGTTTAGGTGCCCTAGGCCCCCAATGCACAGGTGCGAGTACGTAGGATGCCAAGGTGAGGTACGGATGCGGACAGCCTGGTGGGCGTCGTTTGTATGGAATTTCCCCCATTGAAGAAGGGGGTGTGGGGATCTTTGCTTGAGGAGGTCGTTGTAGTAAGTAGGTAGCTATTTTCAGACACTCTTTTGCTTGGGGACAAGATGGTTCCTAAGGGCTTAGTAGGAAGGTGCGATTGGTCAGTTTACTACATCTGAGCCTCCCTCCGATCCCAAGGACCTGGATATGGGGATTGGCAGGTTGGGTTGCTGGATGGGGATTCTTGCTCGGTCCTTCTGGGGGGATGGGGACAATGTGAACGGCGAGTTTGAACGGCGAAGAGAACGCCTGAAGATGGGGTGTTTGAGAGTTGGGCGGTGAAGTTATGGAGAAGATGGAAGTGTAGAGGTATAAAGGAGTGGTTGAGTCGTTGAGAGATGGAAATATCATCAGCATCTACTCAGCTTCTTCACTACTACAGCGATCAAACACTCAGCTTGATTATCAATTTCCATCTATACTCACCATTTCATACAATCAGCAGTCATGCGTTCCAACACCCTCACCATCATCGCCCTCCTCGCCGCCACTGCCACCGCCGGCGTCGTGCCCTCCATAAAACACGATCCCATCACCAAGCGCAGCGAAGCAACCTGGGACACCAAAGGCAACATCAAACTCACCTGTACCTTTCCTCCCCCCTCTCCCCTCCCACTTCCACCCTAACCCCCCACAGTCTCCAAAGAAACCGTCCAAGTCGGCTCCATAACCCCCGAAACAATCATGGCCGCCGTAGGCCCCATCTGCCACGAATCCGGGCAATGCGAAACCAACCCTATCGAACTCAGCGGCACCCTCACGAAGCCCTCGCGCATCGACACCCTAAAAATCAAGCTAGGCCCCGACGGCTCCTACCCAACCTGGATCCGCAACGGCCTCGTCGACATCCTAGCGCTAGCCGCCAAGGAAGTCGCAAAATGCGAGGAAGTCACGTATACGAATCACTGCTTCGGTACCACGGCCATGGCGTATTGTCCGCAGAAGAAGTCAAAGGGGATTAACTGTGAGGTGCCCAAGTTTTGGGGTATCAATTATCAGGCACCTGATGCGGCGAATGCGGCGCCCCCGAATGTTGGTGTGGATATTGCGATTGCGGAGACGGAAGGGAATAAGTTGTGTGAGGATGTTATGGGAGGGCTTGGGGCGGTGGCGGGCGTGGTGAATGCGTATGCGGGGGGTGCGTTTACGCTGCTTGCTTTTGCTTGTGTTTGAGGTGGAGGATGAAAGGGAGGGAATAGGAGTGTTTGGGTGATTTTGTACATAGCTTTTGAGACTAGTAGATATTAGATTCATTGTATTATGTTGTTTTGCATGAACTTCTCATTTGCTTGAGTGCGCGTTTGTACAGTGTCGATGATCTCTTCTTAGACTATAGTGAATCATCAATTCAACACCAAGTCAAAACTATCTCTTGAACCCCTACGTAATGCAATTTGAATATAAAATCGTTACTCGCAATAGCCATTAATAGTAGTAGATAATTAATTAAACGTAATACACAACATAAATCATGTAGAAAGGGCCTATCCAAAAGACCCACACCTAAGAGCCGAGCCATGCAAGACCCTCTAGTTCCCTGGATATAAGCCAACCACACTGCAACGCCATGCTCAGCATGAACCAGAAGTGCTAAAAAACCACAGAATGCTCATAAGCGTAGACCGCATAAAGCAATAGTAGCGAAAGTCTCACCTCCCTCCTCTCCAACCGAACGATTACAAAAACGCCCTCGACCGAATGACGACGCGTATAGTCCTCCTCCTCTTGATACCCACAGCGCTATCGCCATCATCACCAGCCAGAGACTCATCATCTGTAATCTCAAAATTCATCTCTTCAGCCCCACCAGTGGCATCATCAATAGCATGATTTCCCACCGCATGCGCCAAACTAGCGAATTCATCCGAGTCCAGCTCCACCTCTTCGACAACATTACCATGCCCATTATTAACAACATCTCTCATTGCCAAGTCCTCTTCTTCTTCGGCTGGCGGACTCAGCTTCAATAAAGGATACCGGGACCTCCATACTCCCCGCCCCTCAGAGATCCCATCAACTACAAAAAACCCTTCTGACCACTGACGCGACGAAGGTTTGATCGGAGACTGCCGTATTTGCCCTTGTCGTTGGCAGAGGCTTCGCCCATCTCGCCCATTAGCAGACCAATCGAGCTACCTCTCCTGGAACGGCTGTCGCCTGCATCACTGCCAGGGGCTGGCGGAACACCAAGGATACTGCGGCGATCGACACGCAGGTTCTTCCAGCCTTCCAGTTCACGCTCCAAACGCAAATTCTTCTCACGTTCTTCGCGGAGTTCACGCTCGGCACGCTTAGCGGCGAGTTGATTCGTAGAGTCCGAAGACTGTAGCTCATCAATGGTAGCGAGGAGACTGGAGATCTTGTCACGAGACTTGTTAAGGTCTTCCATGACAGAGGCGTTTTGCTTGTCACGGCGTTCGATCTGTGTTTGCAGATCCTTGACAGTTCGGTCTACATTGCGAACACTACGCGATTCGGACAGGCGTGTGGCCTCGCTGTCTTCGAGTGCCTTTTCGAGCTAATTGAACTTGTTAGCACTATTCGATACAGATAAGGGGGAGAAATAGAAGAACATACCTCTTGGATGCGTCCGTGGAGAAAGCGCACGTCCTTGCCAGCTGATCCACTGTAACCCTTTGTTTCGAGATCCACAAGGCGAAGTTGAAGGTCCTTGAGGCTCTTCTCCACTGCAGCCTTGTCTTTGTGGAGCTTGACGTTTGCCTCGCGCTCGGCGACGATGTCTTTTTGCAGCTCTTGTGCGAGTGCCTCTGCACGGCGCATCTTGCCAACGGCAGCGGCAGTAATATCCTCTTGCTGAGCAAGACCAGATTTGAGCTCCAGCAGGTCGCGGTCGTAAGCAGCAGCGTTACGCGTAGCCGGAGACTCGGAACGAGAAAGATCATCCAAGGCAGCCGCAGCCTCCTGTAGACGAGCCTCAAGGCGCTTCTTCTCTTCGATGGCAGAATCACGCTCTGCCGCAAGGTCGTCGACGTTGGTACGTAATGTGCGAACCTGTGATAGCAGACTGACAATCTTGGATTGTGCCTCGTTGTGCGCATTGGCAGCTTCATCGCGCGAGTCGGAAATGGTTTGCAGAGTCATCTCAAGACGGCTCTTCTCCTTTGCCCAGGTCGACGAGTTCAGAACCTCGTCGTCCCACTTGTTCCTCAATTCTTCAATCTCCTCGCGCAGACGTCCGTTCTCCTCGCGTACTTGAATGATGTTCTCGCGCTCCTGGTCGATCTCTTGAGTCAGTGCCTGCAGTTCATTCTGGTACTTCTTCCTGGTCTGCTCCAGCGAGGTCTCGCTGTCTTCCACATCGTGTGCGTGCTGGCTCCTGTAGTCTTCAAGCTCGTTTTGAAGACGTTTCTTAGCCTGCAGAGCAGCCGCCAGATCTGTGGATAGGTCCTCGACACGCTCGTCGTATCGTTGAACTGTTCGTTGTAGATCTTCAACCATAGCATCCATCTCCTTACGTTCAGCCATGATTGTTGCACATGTCTCTTCAGCTTCTTGAGCTTGGGTCCTTGCGAACTGTTCAGCACGAGACGCCCTCAAAACGGCAATCTCTGCCTGTTCAAGCTTGTTGAAGTACTCGTCAGCCCTACTCTTGTACATGTTCAAGCTTGACTGTACATCAACAAGGGTTGATGTCTCGTTGTCCAGCCGGATTTGAAGGTCAGCAAACTCTTGGAGGAGCTGGCTGTGGTTGGCATGCTCCTGCTCTCGCTCACTGGTGATCTCTTGAAGTTCATGGTGGAGCTCGCGAAGCTCCGACTCCAAGGCAATCTTGGCGTCTTTGATGTCGTCAAAGGCGGTCTTTGCATCTGCAAGTTCATTGATGGCATTGTTGTGTGCCTGTACAATTGACTTGCGCGACTGCTCTTGTGAAGTCAGTAGATCAAACAACTGTTCATGAGACTTTGTCTGGACCTCCTGATAGGAAAGTTGACCTGAACGAAGACTGTGCTCCAGTGCGGAGACCTTTGTTGCTGAATCATCCAGCATATCGTGCAGACGGTAATTCTCACGTTCCAGCTTCTGCACACGTCGGGTGGAGGGGCTTTCCTCCTGCCACTCGTTTCGGCTTTGCGAGGATTCAAGCTGAGTTCTGAGGTGTTTGTTTTGCATTTCTGACATCTGCAATTGGTTCTGTACCTGTTCAAGCTCGGCAGCCATGTCCATGCGATTGTTGAACGTAACAGTGTCGACAGTCTTGTCAGAACGCGCAGAGTCGTTTGCATTGTTGATGTGTCGCTGGTTAGTTGGGGTGTTTGTGATTGAAAATGGTCGGCGGTTCTCGCTGTCTTTTCGGTGATGTGTTGGCGTATGACGGACACTGGCTTGGTTGACCTGGCCATTGTTCATCTCTTCCAAGAGAGCACGCTTCGAGCTAGCATGGCGAGCATCCATTTCGTTCATTTCGCCCTCGTGCCTTTCGCGAAGTTCTTCGAGTTGAGATTCAGCACGTGAATACCGCTCTACCGCTACTCGCAAAGCTTGGTTGACAGACTCAAGGCGCTCGGCGATATCCACTGTCCTGGCGATCTCGGGCTTTGCGGCTTCGTAGGTGATTGCCACATCAGCTGCTTCTGGGTCAAAGACCTTGCGAAGAAGCATGAGCTGCTTGTGGCATTCTTCCAGCTCGAGATTTGTGTTGTCAAGGGATGCCTGAACAGCACGCGTGTTGGCTTGAGCTTGAGTACGTAGTTGTCGCTCGGTCTCCAGCTTACGATTGACCTCGGCGAGTTGAATGTTGACAGTTGATGAAGCTTTTTCTGCGTTACGGCTGGCCTTGTGCTCTCTTGCGATTTCGTGATTCAGATCCTCGAGATCCAGAGAAAGCTTCTCCTTTTGCTTCTCCAAAGACGTAATGGCAACTTGGGCATCCTCGAGTTGACGCATGAGGAGCTTGTTCTCCTCCTCAACCTTGGATTTCTCATGGGTCAGTTGGGTAATCTTGAGGCGTTGCGTGTCACCAACTCGAGAGTTGGTTCGGGCAATGTCCAAGTTCTTCTGTTGGAGCTTGTTGAGAAGAGCGCGGTTGTCATTCTCCGATGCTGTCAGCCGCCCTTTGATTGTGACGATCTCGCGTTCAAGGCGCTCTTTTTGCTGGTCGTTCCGCTCTTTGAATGAGTCAGAGTCAGCAAGCATTTGGGTCAAGTTGTGAACCTGCTCAGCCAGTTCGTCACGCTCTGCCTCCAGTTGGTCGAGCTGCTGGTCCTTGGATTCGATTTCGCGTTGTTGAGCAGCCTGCCGTTCAAGAGCTAGCTTTGCCTGTGCGCGCTCTGCCTCAGCGTCCGCATCCAATTTCTCCTCCTCTAATCTCAGATACTTCTCACGAAGAGTATGCAGTTCAGTTTGGTACTCTTTTCGCTCCCTTTCGTGAGCTGCCCGCGATTCGGTCGCTCGTCGCAGCACATCTTGTTGAGCATACATCTCCTTCTCAATAGTGATCTTTGACTCGTTCAACGCATCATAATCACGCTTGAGTGTGTCGTATCTGTGCTCACCAAGCATCTCAACGTCATCACGAGACTGCCTTTCCCGACTGAGTTCCTTTTGTACTGTGAAGAGTTCGCCCTTGAGGGCCTCGATTTGCTCTTGCAAGAGCTTGCGACTCTCGCTGTACTCGGCGTCCTCGGAAATTTTCTCCTCAAGAAGACGCTTCGCATCCGCTGCCTCGCGCTCCACTTGTTGTTTCTGCGAACGCATAGCGTCCAGCTCTGCATTCGCGTCACGGAGGCGGCTCTGAAGGCTGTCATGCTTAGAGGCCAACGTTCGTTTCTCGTCGTCAAACAAGCGGCGATCGTTTTCGTAGTTTTTCAGGTCAGTCTTCAGGATTGCCAACTCGCTTTCCTTGCGCCTGATGAGATCTTCATAGCTCGTAGATGTAGCAGACAAGTCTGAAATTTGTTGTCGAATTTGTCGATTCTCGTCCAACAGTTCCTTAATCTGCTTTTTGCCCGACTGCACTTCTTTTTGGGAAGCTGCCAGCTTGATGTCAAGATCCTGGTCCGTCTTCAAAAGTTTTGCTTCAAGATCCTGAAGCTTTCGCTCTTTCAAAGAGAGGTGGCTTTGAAGCATCTTCACTTCTTGGCTTAACGATTCCTCCGCCTCAGTTCGTTGTGTTCTGATGGCTTCGAGCTCCTTGATTTGTTCCTCCAACCGAGAACTTTGCTCCTCTAGCTCCCGGGCTTCGGTTTCAAGCCTGCTGATGATTTGTCCAGCTTGTTCGAGCTCTCCACGCAGATGTTCGGCCTCATCTTCAGTTCTCCTCTTGGCTTCCATAAGAGCGTCCAGTTGATCCTCGAGTTGGTCTTGATCCTCGATAGCGCCAGCAAGCTTCTCGGCGAGCTCAGCCTCGCGCAATTGAAGGCGCTTAAAGATCTCCTCCTTGTCTAATGCTAGTGCACGCTCACTCTCTAGTGTCTTCTGGATCCGTTGGATGTCCATCTCCGCGCGTCTGCGTTCATCCTCAACCCGCTGTTTTTCGGCCGCCTCTTGCTGCATCTTTGCTTCCAGCTGCTGAATCATTTCGTCACGCTTTTTGACTTCGGCAGCCTGACGTGTTGCTCCAAGCATAGGCTTCATGCGGGTGAAGAGCCTCCACCATGGATTAGCCTGCATGTCAAGGTAAACTTGAAAATTGCGCTGGATAATTCGCGTAGCTTCGGCACGATAAAGGCGCTTGTGAGCCTGACGACGTTGGACAAACCCACGAGCAACCGACTGGAAACGGATCATGATATCTCGGATAAGCGCGTCGCGTTGGTCTTCGAGTTCGGCAAGGACTCCAGCCCGGAAGAAGACTTTGGTGATACCCACACGATACAGTGAACGGTCAAGGTTGAGCTTATCAAGAATCATGCTTGCCGCTACTTGACCCTCAACATAGCCCTTGGGAAGATCTTTGCACAAGACCTCGTATCTTTGGCGGAATTCCACAAAAGGCAGTCGGTTAGGGAAACCAGTACGCGCGATACGGATTCCTTCCAACACACCATTACAGCGCAGTTGATCGAGTACCAATGGCGCACTGAATTGTTTCGGCCGCTTCTTGTGGTTCGGCAAGATACAACGAACAAAGTGAGGATGCGTTGAGTGCAGCTGGGTCATCAGCGTTGACAATTGCTCTTTGTGACGTTGGGCTACTGTTCGGAAGAGGCCCTTCTTCACACGGCTGCGGGTTCCACCCATGTCGTCGTCAGGATCGGCGCAATCTGCGAAAAGATTCGCAACCTGCTTATCCGAGGAGGCCGCCAAAAGGCGTGTGACATTGTCATTGATCGGATCCTTGTTCTTTTCTAACCAGTTTTCTGTCGAGTACTCTACCTCAGCAGCATAGTGAGTAAGAACAAAACCTTGGGTGAGAAGTGACCGTTTGTACTTGGTGCTCTTGCGATCCCACAGAGAATGCAGCTTCTCTGTAAAACTCTTATCAGTGGCTTTGGGCATAACGCAGTCCTCGTCTAAGCAGGAAAAGATTCCGATGGGATTTGATAGCTCGATGAGGTCGATAGTAGGTTGGAGGTCACGGCCAAAGTCGATGAACTTCCATTCTATCTGCTCTCGTGCGTATTCCTCTTGTTCCAGGACGAACATGTGGTGATTGAAGAACTGTTGAAGTTTCTCGTTGGTGTAATTGATGCAAAGCTGCTCAAAGCTATTCTCATCAAAAATTTCGAAACCAGCGATATCAAGAACACCAATGAAGTGCGAATCATCTGCACCAGCACCAGTCTGGTCCAGCTGACGATTGATGCGGTCAACAAGGTCTCCGAAACCACGCTCGTAGATACCCTTGGCGAGCGCGTCAATGGATAGGTTGACCTGCTCTGGTGTCTGCACCTTCTCAACCCACTCTCTGCCTGCCTTTACTCGGGGGTGCAGAAGCGCCTTGATAAAATCATCGACAGAGATTCCGAGTAACTGAGCAACAATCTCGGCTTGTTGCTCAGCTGCAAGGTTCAGGGTTGCTTGATCTGCTCGCCGGCTCTCTTTTATAGCGCGAATATTTCCTAGATGCAGAACTGCAGCAACGGTCTTGAGAATGGTAGATTGCTCTTGGTCGCTGAAGCCCATGACATGAAAGGCTTCGATAAGAGCATTCCACTCCTCGGGATCCGACACACCGGAGATGACGTCGTTTCCGTGCTTGGTGTAGTCAAAGTCCTCGGTATCCTTGTTTTCCAGGAAGAATTCTTGTCTCATCCTGCTATCTGCACCGCGCAGCAGCTGATAGAAGACGTGGTAGTTGCGCTCGTTCGAGTTGAGCCGCACCACTCTTGACTTTTCCAAGAGATACCAATCAATGTAGGCGCCTGCAATCTGGCCAGTCCGTGAAAACTCGATTCTGATAAACTTTCCAAAACGAGACGAATTGTTATTTCGCACCGTTTGCGCGTTTCCAAAGGCTTCGAGAATTGGATTGGCACGCAGAATCTGCTCAGACAAGTTTGAGAGCTGACGTCCTCCTGACTTTGTGTGTGGGGTGTCTGAATTGGCGACTGCAGCAAGGTACTGAATGACCTTCTTGGTGTTCTCCGTCTTACCAGCACCCGATTCTCCTCTGTAAATAATTAGCTAGTGTTGGTTGAAGAAGTGTGTTAACTTACGTTACGAGAATACTCTGGTTTGTGCCTTCCTCAATCAAATTTCGAAAGGCATGGTCGGCCATTGCAAAGATATGCGGCTTGGTCTCTTCCCTACTCCGTCCACGGTACATATTTATGTATTCTCTCGAGTAAATGGGCAGTGGGCAGTAGGGGTTGACTGTGACCAAGAACAAGCCGGAGTAAGTCTAGGAAAGGTCAGCATGGTGGCCCAGTTGGCAAGGCAAGCGGGACGTACGTAGATAAGATCTGCTTGGTAACGCATGTGCAGGTTGTGGATGACCGAGGGCTCGTTGAGATGTGTGAGTTCTGCCATGTCGTCGGCCTTGTCAAATTTGGCGGGATTGACTTTGTCAATGGCATCGGCGTCGACCTCCTGTTGGGTACCATTGTCACATTGCACCAGTATCCTTCCCTCGGGGAGGTTTTCTACGACCCAACCGCGGACAAAGGCCGTGGCTGGATCCCTAAGCCAGACATAGCGCTTGCCGGAAAAGTCGTTCTCGCCCTCCACGATTCCACCTAGACGCGGGGCGTCGTTTTCTTCTTCGGAGATGAATTGGGGTGCAAAGGTGCCTCCGGGCGTGCTGTTGCGATTTGAGTTTGAGCGGGAGCGGGCAGTGTCGCTACGGCCTATGGTAGAGGAGGTGAGATTTGTGAGGGAGCGATGGCGTAAATGTCCCATGGCGGGATCTGCTTCGGCAAGCGGTGACGAGATGAGGGCGGAATGTGGGCGGTTCGGAGGGTTCTGGCCGGATGCAGCTATGGATGCATTCCTGGCAAAAGGACTGTTGCGCGAATTGCGCGCGAATGGGCGGCCATTGGGCGCCGGCGCACTCATGGTGGAGGCGTGGGTAGTGGTATAGCAGCGGGTGCGACAGCGTTATGTGCCGGACATTGTATGAAGGCAGAGCAGCAGACGCAAGTGCAGGGAGCAGGAGGCCAAAATGCACACAGTGTGGGACACAGGCAAAGCACAGCAACGCACGGGGCCTGCCTCTGGGGAAGTTTGGTGGAGGGCAGATGTGCAGATGGGCGGGTGCATGATGCACTGCAGCCCGTGGTAAACAACCATAGCCGCCTGCCCCTAGCAACCTGCCACACTCGACGCCACACGTGCGCCACATGCACACGCGCCACACGCTGCCGACAACACATCTGCTGGTAGCAGTGGAGCGGACGCGCGGGCCTGACTCGCGTACCGTGGGACACAAGTCCATGTGCGTGTCACGTGCCGGCCTCAGGCCATCGCGAAATTGAAACATTGACGCCTCGCACTCCACTATACTATAATACACGCACATGCATCATCGCTGCCACGCCCCAACTACCCGCACCGACTCACTCCGCCCATCCGCCCAACTTGCCTCTCTCACCCATCCGCAATCCCCTCCGCTGCCCCATGCGCCGGCGCTACAAACAGCCGTGCTAAGAGACGCGTAGAGCTCTTGTCTTTCGCTGCTGCTCCACTCAACAACCATGGCCAACAACTATTCCCAGCCTTTCTACGGCTTCCCAAACGGCTTTCCGCCCCCGCAAATGCCCCCGCCTCAGAGCGCGCCACCAGAAGAGCAGCGCGGCGCTCCTCCGCTCCAGCAGTTGCCCGGCATCAACTTTAACTCGTATGCGCACAACTCCCAGCAGCCCCCGTTCCCGGCGCGTAAGTCACTTTCCTGCCATCAGACTATTTGCGTGCTGCCTCACTTACACTATGCGCAGCCTCCTGGCCGCCCCAGCTGCCTCCCGACGCCAACATATGGGCTCTCTTCCAGAATGGCGCCTTCCCTCCGCCCAACCTGCCCCCGCCGCCCTTTCCCACCATGGGCTTTCCTCCGCCGTCGCTTCCTCAGACACCGCAGAATATCCCACCGCCTACCCATTTGCCCCAGTCACTTCCACAGCGACCTCCACATCCTCCTGCTCTACATCAACCACCTGCGCCTGCGCCCGCGCCTGCACCTGCATTCACCACTGCGCCCCCACCTACCAACGAGCGTATACAGGGAATCATGGACAGTGACCGCGAGGATGGTGAACTGAGTGAAGGTGACATGGGATCTCATCCGCCTCCACCTGTTCACGTCAATGGCGGTCGCCCCCCGACTTCTGCCGTCCAACATAATATCCAGAGCAACAAGACTGCAGTCAACCAACAGGAAAAGCAACCCACACTGCTGGAAAGACTTCAACAGGATCGCGAGTCAGCAAAGCAATTCATAAAGCTTCTACACAGCAACAACATCCCATACCGTACTCTGGCTGATGAGAAGCTTGATGCCGAACTATTGAGAGGTTTGTACCAGAGTGTGAACCTACCATCTGAACCCGCTCCCATTCTGCCACCCAAGCCGAATGGCATTACCTCAGGCGCACCAGCTGTCCAACCAGTAGCCGCTCCCCAACAAAAGACTGTGCCCACGATCAAAACAAGCGCCATTTCCGCACCTTCGACTAAGGCTGCCGCATCGCCAACCACGCCAGGTGATCGCAAAGATTACATTGCACGTCTACAAGCTGCAAAGGCAGCGAAACAGGCTGCATCATCCAAGACGACAAGCCCGTCGCAGTCGGTAACACCGGCCAAGCCCAGGACTCCCCAACCAATCTCCACACCCACCACTAAGCCGCCTGTAACTGATGAACAAAGGGCTCGGAATACTGAATTGATCAAACAGCGATTAGAGGCAATCAAGGCGCGACAGAAGGCGCCAAATGGGGTCAGCAATAATACAACACAGGCGTCTGTTCCTTCGCAACAAACCCCTCAAGCCCAAGTTGCGCAGCCAACTCCAAGTGGCTTGGCCACACCTACAGGCCAAAGCTATACACCTTCCTTTTCAGGGATTCCCGGTCTATTCATGAACCATACCCCAGTCTCCAACAGCACTGCCCCTACTCCGTCTCAACCCTCGCTCTCTGTGCCCCAGAAGCCGCCTACTTCAAAGAACGAAGCATCCGTTTCGCGAGAATCCACCACTCCTTACACACGCCCCTTGGGCCGGTCTGCTAATGCCCATCAAGAAGATGATTCCATGATAATAGAGGTTAGCGAAGATGAATCCAACGGCAGTGACATGGACATCGAAGACGACCCTCCAGCCCCTCCTGGACTTCCGCGCAAACCTGGTATCCCTGTCAGACCAGCATTCCCTGCCACACCAGCTGACAGTGCGCCTGGGTCGCAAACTCCTAGTACACTTGCTCGGGAGAAGGAATTGGTAGATAAAGAGAAACAGCTTGTTGCCATGCGAGAGACACTCAAGAGGAAGCTCGCTGAAAAACGCGAAAGGGACAGGTTGGCTTCTGCTGCGGCAGTATCCTCGCCGACAATCCAGAAGTCTTCCACGCCAGTCTTACCACCTCAAAATCGTACTCCGAGTAAAGTTCCATCGGTTGTTGGTAGAGATACTGCCCGTTCCCGCCGCGCTGAAATTCAATCTAAATTGCCAACTTTGGACGCAGAGATAGCAAGTAATACGAGCAGAATGGCTGAATTGGCGAAGGAATTGGAGCAATTAACGGCGCTCAACAACAAGATTGCAAAAGACAAGGAACAGTTGACGAAAGAATTGGAACTTCTCGGTGTTGATACAGAGGGCATGTCACATGCCGAGCTCCGTGCAAAGAAAGACGAGATCGAACGCGAGCACTCGCCGGAACCCAACGTCTCATCTCAAAATGCGGATCATGCGTCTCGGTCCTCGATGACAGCATCCTCTCTTACTGTACAACCATCTTTGGAGCCCTCGAGTCCAAAAAGTAGCGTTCCTAGTTCACAGCCGCCTTCGAGTCAGCCTTTTCAAAAGCATGTCATTCTTCCAGGCCTTGGACAGAGCATAGTTCAAGCTCAGCACCAACCCCAAACTAGCATGAATCAGATTGATCTACACCAAAGGTCAGAAACGATGTCGAATGGAAACGGGGCCGCTCAAACAGCAGAAGATGACTACACCAGAGCGTCGAGGTCGCAGAGCTCAGTCATTGCTTCGGATAGGGACATGGGCGAGGATTTCTACAGCCCTGCACCCCCAGTTGAAAGGGATATTGCTGTTCAACCGGCCGGCTCCAACACAGACGTTACCAGTACGACAGCAGTCACTCAACCTTCTGCCGCCCCTTCTCCGTCAGAAGGAGAAGTTGAGATGTCTGTTTCTGAGGGAGAGGACGGCGAGGAAGAGGAAGAGTACGAACCAGAATATGATCCAGAAGAACACGCAGCCGTCGGGAATGCGTCGACAGAAGAACCTCATGACTCACAGCCGAACGTTGCGCCTTCTGTAACCACATCACACATGTCTGCAGACAACGAAGAGGCTTACGAACCACCTGAAGCTGATCAAGATATGGCAGATGTTCCAAACGAGACCACCATGTCAGATAGTGTCCCGCAAGCACGCCAGACCGAAGCAGATGATGGTGCCATGGATATTGCTACATCATCTGATGACAGCTCGGATGACTCTGATTCGGATGAAGAGTCTGACTCTGACTCTGAAGCTGACGATACTATCTCAGGGAACAATCTGGCTCATCAGGACAGTAATGTTGCTGACGACCTAGCACCTGAATTGCAACCACAGACAATATCAGTAGTGGACAATGTGCAACCTGTATGTTCTAATTTCCCTTACAGAGCTTGACTAAGATGGAACAGTCCCCCACGCTTGAGGAGGAAGAAGAGCCGGCCGTATTCAAGCCATACGAAAGTCCGCTTCGAATGTTCAAGTCATATCGCTATCACCCGAGTTATTCAAAAGATGTGTCTGGAGGTTTCATGTCTTTGACATTTAGTCACCAGATAGATCCTGAAAAGCCATTCTGCCAATACGAGTCGGCAGGTGGCGCTTGCAATGACCCTGAATGCCCCGATCAGCATTTCAGGGATGCGACTATCACTGGTGCGTTGTCGAACAAAAGGAGTTTCTACCGTTGACCTTTGCTTTCTCCCCCTTCCGTTGTACGCAGACTGACTAGATCTTTTCATACAGGTGACAAGCTACTTCTCCAGCTCGGAACAGCAAACCCAGGCAAGACGTCCGAGGAAAGGCAAAGATGGAATGACGGTCTCCGCAACGTACTTAAGGAGCTCCGTTCGAAGAACGTCAAAGATCCAAACGGTATTGCCGAGGAGATTGCGCGATATCGCCGCGAGTTTCTCAACGATGACACGCGTGTTGTCAACTTGTGAGAATGGGGGCACTCTATACCACAATGTGTAGATGGCAACCTCATGCTACATCTCCCATTAGGGATCATTCCTAACATGGTAGTTGCGTGCAACTCTTGTCCTCTACTGACCACTTTTCTTTTGAATCGCAAACAGCAAAGCAGCAGAAAATAGCGTGCAGCTCTTCTTTTGTCTAGTCTTTTCCCATTCCTGGCCCCGCACACAACTATTCATTCTTCCTTCCCCCAAGCTTTTGGAAGCAAGGAATGATTCAAAAAGGTATAATTTACAACCATGTACATCTGTCGATTCCTCTTTTGTGCATAACGACCATATGGCCGCGCATGTACAGTTCGAGCGGCCCCGCTGAATAAGACGCACATCCAGCTTTTTCCTTCCTTTTTGGGTTGCTAAGGATTACAAGCATCGATACCCCTACATTCTACACATCTTACTGCTTCTTCTTCGCCTTCTTCGCCAACGAAATAAATAACGCATGGGAGGTTGGAGTCTTTATTCTCCTTGGTCGTTGTCTTTGGACAAAAGGGTGTGCATATGTGTGCATTGAATGCCCATACCATATCTTATTCCCAAAGCCTACCCTTTCTTGAACAAAATGTCCAGCCGTTTGGAGAGTATGATTTGGTATACTGCGAGATCCGTCCCCTCTCTCCCTCTTCCTCTGCCAGAAAAGAAAAGAGATCTGGTCATCTCTATTTCTACATATCGACAACAGGGATTGTGGGTGCAGAACAGGCGAACTGGCTGATTGTGGTTAGTGGCGATTAGTAAATTTACGTAGAATAAAAAAAATTGAAGAAGAAATAACAATACATGATTCTTCCCGTCATCTTTTGTCATCTTCATACCTGTGTTTGCGGTTGTGATGTCTTCGCTTTTTTTTTTGGTCAGCCCTTAGCATCTCGTGTATTTATTCGACCAAATACGCATGTACAAAATTAAAATGAACAACAACATTTTGAAAAAAAAAGAATGATTATAGTAAGGATATAACATCTTGGCTCAAAAGACTGAATAACAATCAGCATACCAAGGGAGAAAGAACAGTTGGAATAGAATTCATGAAGAAAAAGAAAAAGAAAAGTTGCACAGTATCTACGCTAAATAGATACCCTAATTTGCACCTGTGAACTAGCTACGTGTGTACTACATCTGCCATGAGTAGTAGAACACTTCAAATAGCTAGTATTCATTCTTCAATTGATATAACTCGTTAATATTACTATAATCTGTCTGAGTAGAGGCTGAACAAGGGTCAAGCATAGTGCAGCAATATATCTTTTTTTTCTTTTTTCTTGTTTTGAGTATTAGGACGTATTTTTTTTATAATATCATGACTGAAAATTAACAAGCAGTGCTACCCGAAGAAGAGAGATTTCCAACAATCTTAGCGGAGTTGCGGCTCATAAGAGGAGAGAGAGAGAGACTCTGAAAGGTGGTTAGGTCGCATTTCTTCTCACACGAAACACACATAGGAATCATCACAATATGCACCTAAAGCAGCAACAATTGTCAGGACAGAGGGATCAATTCATCTACAGTAGTAACTATCTTGGCTACACCATCCCATCCATGCCCCTCTTTCTTGGGCTGCCTCGTGATTACGTCGGCAAGTGAGCTACTCCATGTTGCATGAGCCCAGGTACCCATTGGAATTTTCTATTCATAAATCGTATCTATTCTTAGTTGGAGATACCAATGACACCGCAAGCAGGACGGCCTCCAGCGTTACCAGTCTTCTTGGACTCCTCGTGGCCACCCTTGCCAAGGTCGTCAGTGCCAGCGTGAACGACAATGGTGCGCTGTTAAAACTTTGTCAGTATGTTTATCATGGATAAGAGGAGCAGAAGAACATACGCCAATGACGCTCTCGGAGCCGATGAGCTTGATCAGCTTGTCGGTGACGGTGCCCTTGGCATTGCCCTGGCCGTCGGTCTTGAAGTTGCCCAAGTCACCGACGTGGCGCTCCTCGTCGCTGGGGGCACCGTGGGTCTTGTTGTGGGGGTTGACTATTGGTACACATGTCTTAGTATGCAACCCTCGCATATGGAAACCGGAAGGGCACCGCGAAACTCACAGTGGGGTCCAGCAGATGTGCAGCCGTTTGTGTTGTCACCGAAGGCGTGAATGTGCATGCCACGCTCAGCGTTGGCATCGTGGCCGGTAATGTCCCATGAGATGGTGGTGGGGGAGGACTCGTCGGCCTGCTCAAAAGTGACGGTTCCCTTGATGTTGGAGTCTCCACGGAGGACGGCGACTACGCGTTTTACGTGTTAGCACAAGGTCTGTTTGCCTGACGATCTTCGGGCCTATCCGCTCGATCCCTCTTCTTTTTTTCCACTTGGGATGACAAGGCCATCAGGGTGTTTCGCGTTCACCGAGCTGATTGGAGCAGACCGCGAACCAAGCAGCCATGAATGGGGGGAAACGAGCTTGGGATAGGCTTCTAGAAGGGACAACATGGTCCTCGCAATACGAATCTTGCCCAATTGTTCTCCCCTTTCTGGTCTGTTTGATACCGCTAGACATGGTGTCTTTTTAAACAATCTGCTCAATCTCACGCACCCGGATCACCCCACCTTGCCACCTTAGGACAAGCTCGTGCGACTACTGGGCGTAAGACTTACCGGCTTTGACCATTGTGACGGTTATGTGATTGGTATTGTTGGGAGAGTTTGATGAGTTCGATGTAATCTTTTGAGCTTGAGGAATTGAGTGAATAGTTGAAGAGAAGGGGGGAAGAGAAGGTAGCTTCCGCTCGGGTAAGCTTTCAATGCGGGGCTCTCTAGTGACGCAACGTCCGCCAGACCCGCCAGAGCTGTCGACATAACCAGTAAAGCCGAACCAGACCCGGCGAATGATGATAAATCCGCAGTTCCAGCCCCTCTAGCTGCCTCAGCTGCCTCAGCTTTGGTTATGCTATCATCAGCCAGCGCATTCATAGTGTTTCACAAAGGCATGCATAGTGTCTGGTAAATGTATCGGGTTTTCACGCTTCATTTTTTTATCTACGTGCCATCCGAACCTCCTATCAAGTCTCAATGCTCGAGCGGGAGTTGAAAAAAAGCTAATTATATCGTAAACTCATCTCTGGGCCGGTATCGGACCTTGCAATTTATGCCGCCTGGATCTTCTCGCGGAGGATGTCCTTGAGAGTAACAGCATCAGCGGCGAATTTCGAGATACCCTCACGGAGCTTCTCGACGGCCATCTGGTCCTCGTTGAAGTAGAAGCGGAACTCAGCCTCGTCATTGATGTAGCTCTTCTTCTCAATGTCGAGCTTGCTAGCATCCTCGGCAATGAGCTTCTTGGGGACCTCATCCTCGGAGTTGTAGAGCTGCTCAAGCAGGTTGGGCTAGGTCTGTTAGTAAATTGGACAGAATGCTGTGTTTTACAGGGTGCTACTCACGGCAATGGTCAGGTAGTCGCAACCAGCAAGTTCAGTGACCTCGCCAATGCTGCGGAAAGAGGCACCCATGACAATGGTCTTGTAGCCGTGCTTCTTGTAGTAGTTGAAGATTTGCTGGACGCTCTTGACACCAGGGTCCTCCTCCTTGGTGTACTCCTTCTTGGTAGCGGCCTTGTACCAGTCGAGGATACGGCCAACGAAAGGAGAGATGAGGTAGGCACCGGCCTCAGCAGCAGCAATGGCCTGAACCTGAGAGAACATGAGGGTGAGGTTGCAGTTGATTCCGTGCTTGGACTGCAGGATCTCAGCAGCCTTGATACCCTCCCATGTTGAGGCGAGCTTGATGAGAACGCGCTCCTTGTCAATGCCAGCCTCCTTGTAGAGCTGCACAGGGTCAGTATACCAATTCTCTTGTCTTGTCATCTCAACTTAGGAGGGGATTTAGTGCAAACGTACGTCGATGATGCGGAGGGCCTTGTTTACAGACTGCTCGGTGGAGAAGGAGAAGCGGGCGTCGACCTCTGTTGAGACCTTGCCGGGGACAATCTGGAGGATCTCCTTGCCGAACTGGACAAGGAGGTTGTCGAGAGTAACATCGACCTGGTTCTCGATGTCGGTGCCGTTCTTCTTGCCGTATGCGACAGCGGCGTCAATCAGCTTCGCGTACTCGGGCTTCTTGGAGGCGGCGAGGATGAGCGAAGGGTTGGTCGTCGCATCCTGAGGCTGGTACTTCTTGATGGTAGCGAAGTCACCAGAGTCGGCGACGACGGTCTGCAGGACAAAGTTTTGTCAGATATAACAATTCTTCCGCGGGTTGTCGCAATGGCGTGGGGGTTAACAACTTACGGTGCCAGCGGCCTTGAGTTGGTCGAGAGAGCTAGGCATTGTGATTATGGGGATGGGTATATATGAGTGGTTGTGTGTTTGCTTTTTTTTTGCTTTGAAACGGAGGGAATCAACGGTTCAAAGGGGGATGATGGATGGAGAGAAGAGAGTTCGAGAAGAAAGATTGCCAGTTGAGAGCTGCTGCGGCGGTGGAGCACTTTCATACGTATTAGCGCCCCTCCCGCTCAGGGAGCCCCTCCATGGAAAAATGGCTGCAGCGTCACAAGTGGCAACGCCCGGCCAGCGACTCGGTCATAGGCTATCCCACCATCAATCAGCATCCCTCAGGTCAACAGTCAGCCACCGGCGGACGCCCTTGACCCGGTGCAGCCGCTCTGTTGAAGCCATGGCCAAATTGCCCGGTGCCATCAAACCTCGTTGCCCGCACGCCGGGCCCTCGCACCACCCAATGATCTCATCTTTGCTACATGGCCCGCAATACTAACCAGGGGGGTCCCCTCTGATGCGATACCGCGTACGGCCAACGTCAGACTCGCCTTTTGCCTACTTCCACCGTTGTACATGGTACTTTACATTATCACGATGCTGAATTCTAGCCCTCCGGGCCACTGTGGTCCGACCGCCGGCATCTGACCAAGCACCCTCAATAGCCGGTCCAACAGCCTCATGCTCCATGCGAGCCCGTGCCTGACAACGGAAGAATTTCACAATACCCGTGCCGCAAAAATTCGTATCTGGCAAGTGTTGCTTCCAAGATAGTCATAGTACTTTGTATGGCTAATCAGTTAAAAATGGATGCATTTTACAATTTCGTCTTCCCAACACCCCATCCCTCTTGGCCCAGCCACTCATACACCTCTTTATACTGCTCCTTCATATTGCTGACTGTATGACCAGGGCCACTCGGGCCTGGATCATTCTGTTTTCCCACATGATTAGCACATTAAACGACACAAAAGAAAAGTTCAAGGATGGTAGTAACTTACCAGCGCCTCAACCTTTCTAGTCTGCTTCGCGCCAACCTCAAGAATCGTGCCTCCAACCATTTCAGCCTCCTGCAAACACCTCAACATTGCTTCTGCAACTTCTTCAGGCGTGGCCCATATATCTTTTTCCAAGTCCAGATATGACATTTTCTCCGGGTGCTCGGTCCATAGTGGTGTTTTGATAACACCAGGTGCCACACCATTGACTCTGATACCTAACTCAGCTTCCAACGGAGCCAGCGAGCGGACAAACCCATTCATGGCATGCTTAGCAGCGACGTAGATTGGAGCGTGGAAATTCGGGTTCTGTCCTGCTATACTGGAGACGATGATGACGCGCTTGGGGTTCTGAGGTCCTACTTTCTGCACGCCAGGCGGGGGATTCAGGAAGTGCGAAATAGCTAGTTGGGTTGTGCGGATAGGGTGCGTGACGTTGATGTCGATACTTGCATACCGTCCTCCGCTGGGATCGTCCTTGCTCTTGCCGCCAGGGACGCCCGGCGGGTGCCAGAAGTTGGTCCAGTGGGGATCATAGATACCGGCTCCAGGACAGACAATGTCAACTTGACCGAATTCTTGCACGGCGACGCTGAACATGCGCTCTAGTTGGGGCCAGTCGGTTACATCTGTTTTGAGAAAAACCGCTCGTGGTTTGCCTTCCTCCTTTCTGCTGTAGTCATCTACGAGCTTCTGTGCTTCAGGCCGGAGTGCAAGGTCGGCGATGAGAACAGAGCAGCCATTCTTCAGTAGTATGGCAGCAAAGCACAAGTTGATACCTAACGTTTGATTCAAAGTTTAGTACCAAGGGAAACCAGATCAAGACAAGGGGGGACTTGTAACATACCAGACCCAGCGCCTGTAACTATCGCACTCTTTCCCCGCACATTGTACTCTTGTCCCCCTGTCATCTCTGCCCTTTTTTTTTACTTACTTGCACTGCTCAGTTTACAGAAGAACAACTCAGCCAAAGCAACGATAAAAAAGAACAGCTCACTTGGCTGAATAAACAAGCCAGCTTACACGTCAACCTACATCACTATATATACAATACAAAGCCCCCCATCGCATCCAGACTTGAAGCGTGCATGTCGGAATGCCGCATTGGGTAACTAGCAGGGAGGGGTATAATCGTGGGGTAACAACAACTCGCACCGAGGTCGGTCTCTTATTACGCGAAGCAAAAGAGGGTGCGCCGATCTGCACCATTGACGATGCCCATATCCTCTTCTTCCTGTTAACACAATGTTCTCTTGACGCGTGTATGCAACTATCCATACATCACTTGTACCGATTTCTACTGCCTTTTCACGCGTCTATTAGCGTGACGTAAATCCTACAAGTCGTCCTCCGAATCAGGAAATCTAATACGGCCTTACTGCATAAACGTGGGATGTTGAATTAGAATATTTTTTTGCATTTGCTGAATAGAGAGCACGAAGATATATATACGCCAACCCGAGAATGAACATGCCTCTTCTCTAGGATATCAATATGCAGTGATGAAACCCAAAACCGTAACCACTGAACGCCACACGCGCCGTATGCACTCAGCCTCATGTTTAGCCTGTTGAATGTCGAGCAACCATTGCGGTAATTCCAGGCCTTTTTTGTGCACACCATTAATGCCTCTTTGGTGTCCCAACCAGTGAAGGCTTAAGCGATGACGCCACCTTAATTCCTTTTCCTCAACTCACCGCGAGTCTGGTCTATTCCGCTGCTTCTTGGGAGGGGTTCACCCTTGCCAGCACCAGAAATGTGGCTCAGACGGATCAGCTCCTCCATCATGGCATCTCTTGTTCTCTTGACCAGATCATCCACGTGCTCAGCAGTCAGTCCCTTTGTCTGTATCGGCGGGAGGACAGTCACATCGACCACACCCGGCTGAAACTTCTGTTCCTTCACGTTCAGTACGTGCGAGTAGTTTGCGCAGACGACCGGTACGATGGGGACTTGTGCTTGTACGGCGAGATGGAAGGCGCCCTTCTTGAAGGGGAGGAGGTCGGGGGTGGAGGCGTAGGAGCGAGTGCCCTCGGGGAAAATGAAGACGGATTGGCGTGTCGACTGCATGGTTTGAGCGGCCGTGTCGAATGCGGCGCGCGCGGTGGTGCGGTTTGCACGGTCGATGAAGACGGTCTTGGACAGCGCCATGAACCAGCCCAGAAGTGGCGTGTACTTGAGTGACTTCTTAGCCGTGACAGATGTGTACTTGGGGAACATGCAGCCCAGCATGAGAACGTCGAGTTCGCTACATTAGGCGTTAGCACCACCTCTGCCACTGTGTTTACTTTTCTCCTAATCGCGGCAAAAACTTACGTCTGATGGTTGCCCACAAACACGGCGGGCCGGTCCTTGAGCGCATCCTCGCCGCTAACACCACCCTCCTTCTTCATGCTACCTGTGATCCTAAATGTCACACCGGTTCCGTACCACATGCACCACTTGAATGCCCGTCCGACCGACCATTGGATGAGACCTCCGTATCCAATGAGGCGCAGGGGTATGGCTACGAGGGTACCGTACAAGGCACAGAAGCCCATGAGGATGAAGGAGCTGGCTGCGAAAGCGTAGTACGAGAGCAGCTGCGCGGGCTTCGCGGGCAGGACGAGCGACAGCAGCCGCATGGCCAAAATGAGCACAGGCGGCATAGCGAGGTAGAGAAGCCAGCTCATGGCGGAAACTGGCGACGTGGTCGCGAGAGCAGGACGGACTCGTGGTGAATCGGCGGGGCCCAAGGGTTTTTTTTCGTGATGGGCGGTAGCGGTGATGCGCCGAGGTCTCGCACTGGACTGGACTGGGTACGTACCACTTCTCGCTAAGCGTTTGTGGGGTTGCCAGGTCTCAGTTCAGACCTTGCACCACTCAACGCTGCTGTAAAGACATGGCAAAGTCCGACTGGGGAATCCCACATATAAGCACCGAGTCGACCCCATGTGCCGTTGGCCTGGGGCGTGAGTGTGTCACGCGTTCTGCCCGCCCTCCAAGCGGTGCAAGGTTCCTCGGGCTAGTATATGTAGTCATGTGTACATACAGTACTAACTCAAAAGTCTGTTCGCACTAGCGTCTGGGCGCACCAACACTACTTTTTTGCCCAATTTCAACACCGTGCAACTCCACCAAATCATATTTAATTTTTAAATTAAGATAAAAGAATTGCTGCTGCGATTGCTAATATTTTG